GACTGGCTATCATAGTTTACAAATAATGCTTCATTCTCCCCCGCCAATAATTCCTTATTGAACGCCAGATATGTGACCTGACATCAGGGCAGCATTATTAGAACATTATAATCTATAGTTTGTTAATGAAATCTGATTGGAATTTAATTTTTCTAAAATTTTACTTTCATTTGACGCAGCGTTTTAGCATGTTTTTGAACAAATCTTTTCTGAGAAAATCAATAGCTGTATACCTAAGACTTGCAACATTTGTTCTCAATGAGCGTTATTAAGAGTTGAATCAAATAAAAGTCCATAATATTTTTTATGTCACTTATTAGTTGATTATTATGGTTCGGTGGCCGAATTAATAGTTCAAGGTTGAAGGGCTTATAATGTATTAAAAACTATAGTGTATTGTTTGTTATCGTTTTAACTCCTAATTCCGAGAATTCATTCATTACCTCAAATAATGTCCGCTTTTTCTCTAAAACCTATAATAACAATCTTGTACCACATGCATTGAATACAACGCACTCTCTTCGCAGAATTTTTTACTCCTTCAAGCATTTTCCCTACACAAATGTTATTTACTCTTTTTATCGCTTGTCAATTCAATATACGAGGCGTATTCGGAAACTAAGTACCGTTTTGATAAAAAAAAAAACAAATGAATAAAATAATAATAATATAAAAAAAAAAAAATAGTAAAACAATTTTTTTCGAATCCAATTTTATTTTTACATGAAAATACATGTCTTAAACTATTTTTCAACAAACAATTAAAACAATTGTCTTAAACAATTTTACAAAATTGTTTCCGCCAATGATCAAACACTTGTCATAGCAGGTGACCAGTTTTTGTATACCATCGTCAAAGAAACTTTCCGCCAGTTTCAATAACCACGACTCCACAGCATTTTTCGTGTCATCGTCAGATCCAAAGCGCTTGCCACCAAGCTCGCGCTTCATGTGCAGGAACAAGTGATAGTCGTACGGCGCCGAGTCCGGGCTGTACGGCGGTTGATCGAACTGCTCCCAATGAAATTGTCGAATTAACGATTGAGTGACACCAGCAGTATGGGGCCGAGCATTGTCATGGAGCAACACAATTCCTTTACTGAGCATTCCTCTTCGTTTGTTTTGAATGGCACGCCTTAGCTTTGTTAAAGTCTCACAATATCGTGCTGCATTAATGGTTTCACCTCTGGGAAGAAATTCAGTAAGCAAAACACCTTTCCTATCCCAGAAGACAGTGCACATGATTTTTTGTGATGACATTGTCACTTTGAACTTTTGTTTTTTTCGGAGAATGAGTGTGTCTCCACTCCATCGATTGTTGTTTTTTGATTCTGGCGTGAAATGACACAACCCCCAAGTTTCATCACCTGTCCAATTTGGTTTAAAAGTTTTCTTTTTCTCCCTCATCACTGTACCGCGTGAGAAATGTCAGGGCACTACCAAGTCGCTTTGTTTTGTGAACATCAATGAGCATTTTTGGAACCCATCGGGAACACAGTTTGCGATAATTCAAGCGGTCAGACACAATATCGAACAAAACAGTACGGGAAATTTATGGAAATGCCTCTGAAAGAGTTGTCATTGTGAAGCGTGTGTTCTCATGAATTGCTTCATCAACTTTCCTTACCAAATCATCGGTGACAACAGAAGGCCGACCACTCCGAGCCTCGGCGTGGACATTTGTTCGACCTGCATTAAACATTCTTACCCACTTTCTCACCATTCCATCACTTATCGCATATTCACCGTAAACTTCTGTCACTTGACGATGAATTTCGGCCAGTTTAACATTCCTCGCGTTAAAAAATTTAATCACGGCACGAATCTCACAGTCAGAGGGAGAACTAATTGTCTTAAACATTTTGAATGTGCACAGCAAACTGAAAACATAGAGCAACCAAAATGGCGACAATTGAAAGTCAGTGAACAAGAGAGACTAGTGCGCATGTGCGGGACGCCTACCACAGCGCTTCGACGGTGCTAGAATGAAACGGTACTTAGTTTCCGAATACGCTACGTACTATTGTTCGAAAACCTCGGAAAAATTTTCGAATGAATGACTTCCAAAGATAAGAGCGTCACACATGTATCTTTCAAGTTTCCTCTTAAAGGAAAGGGTGTGCATTATATGGTGAATATATCTAAAAACTAAAAAAAATGTTTGACATTAAGTATGCGCGTTATACGCCAGATTATACGGTAAATATTAAAACTTTTTTTGATCCTTCTCTGATTTCATTCTGCAATTTCTTACACTTTTATACTGATGAATCTTGAAAGGAGAAGAAAAACTTATATTTAATAAAGTACTTTTAAATACAATGAAAAAAATAATTAATGCTCATACTATAAATGCTAAATGTAGAAAGGTACCAATTATTGATGTGAAATAAATAAAATATAAATATTAACTTATTAAACATTGACTGAACCTTTATTAAATGTTATACAAATGCCAACAGTAAATTACGACGTTTCAGATCAAATAAAATTTAATAAGAAAAATTATGCCAAAAATCATTAGAGGTAGAGAAATAGAATTTACATGCTTTTAAGTTTCATTTATTGCTGATAAACCTTTTCCTTAATAGTTTTTATACAAAAAGGCAAAAAATTAGAAATAAGAAGACTGATGACTGTCTGGGAGACATGATGAAAAACCTACAGATTTGGCATAGATACAGATCCAACCAGATCTTTGGCTGGATAAACAAATACAATCTGAAAAAACATGCTTGAAAACAGGATTTATATACTGTAAAACAGTCCAAAATCAGTTCCCATATATGCTACACGGTTCCCAGACAAAAGCCCACTGGACGAAAGCGCACGCGACAAAAGCCCACTATGATAATTGCCCACGTGACAAATGCCCACAGCGATGAAAGCGCACATTGATAAAAAGACCACATAGATATAAGCCCACGCTTATAAAAAGCACACACCGATAAATGCTCACACTGATAAACGCGCACATAATCAAAAGGGGCTTATGCTTTTTTATTAGTAAATTGTGCATTTATAATTTTAATTATAATAAATGGAGTATTCAGATCTGAATTTTAATGTCTCAAATATGTCTATTTGTATATTTTATTACTACTTTATTTGTTTAATTTATTAGGTTAAAAGCAAACTTTCTACTCTCTGATTTAGTGAGTAGCTATAACGTTACTGCATTTTATTATTTATTTACTTATTTAACTTTGGTATGTGTATCTGAAAATGAAAAATAATACGTTATAATTACGTTTCATCATTAACTTTTTAATTAAAAAACACTTGAATTTTATTTTCTTCCTTTTTAATTTTTCCTTTAGTTCCTTTTTAGTTTGGTAATATTACTACAGTTAAGCACAATGAAAACTTCGCTAAGAGATATTTTATTCTTTACTTTAGACTGAGCTTATTATCAAAGTTTAAACATATTTCTCAATGAAGCTTTTTTGAATGTAACAATTATAATTTGGCTATTTTCTAGAAATATTCTCTTTCAGATTTCTGAATAAATTTAAACTGTCATCTGACACCCTGTCAGAAAATGAATTCCGAGTGTAACCTCTTAATTTTTCAACTACAGCAATTTTGAATAGTGTTTTTAATTTTCATTTTATTTATTTATTTATTTTTTTTGGGGGGGGATGAAAAAACTCTTAGAAGTCAACATATCTACAAATTTAAATAGTAGAATCATCTCACTCTAAAGTAATACATATCTAGCATTTTATTAGAGTTTGAAAATTTTAAAGCTGAAAAATTTAATAACCTGATTTATCTGAAAAATTTTACGAACAATAATCATTATGATTAAAAATGAAATTAAGTAGGAATAAAATTAATTTATGTAAAATCCAAGTTGTCAAAATTTAACTAGATTATTTGAAACTGTGCTTTTAATTCACGATGAAAACAGTATTTGTGATAGCGCACACAAATTTTTTTTTTTAATCATAATAGAATACGGTACTTTTATCTTTCCTTTAATTCTCCATATTAAATTCATTATGTGCAAAATTTACTGCAGTGTTAAATTAGTCATAAATTATTCTCTGTATATGAGGAAAATTTACATACATTTTTTACTCCTTGCAATTTTGTAGAATTAAAAAAAGCAGTGTGGCCAGTATTCCCTTTCACCTCTCTTTGTCAGACTTATACGAAAGCACTTCCATTTGTCGTGTAAATATAATAACAAAATTACACATAAATGTATATGTTTATAATTCATTATTTTGATTGACTCTCTTAATTCAGCCGGAGCCCAAAATGAAATGTGTTCATCTACTTAAATTTATTGTTCAATTATTTGTTATTCATTTAATTTAATTTTTATTTTATCTTTATTCATGAATCTATTTTGTGCAGCTGAAGAAAAAAGGGGAAAAATATTCATTTTAACATAGCTTATATATCGGTGTGGGTTTGTCAGTGTGGGCTTTTATCAACGTGGGCTTATACCTATGTGGGCTTTTATCAATGTGCACTTTCATCGGTGTGGGTATTAGTCGCATGGGCAATTATCCCAGTGGAGTGTTTTTTGTGTGCTTTTGTCGCGTGCGTTTTCGTCCAGTGGGCTTTTGTCTGGTCACCATGCTACACATAATTATTTATTAAACATTTATTTGTTTTATTAAATACTTAATAAATCAAATTAATCTAAAATTTGCATGGGAGGAAAAAGAAAATTAAAAAAAAGTATATACATTTATGAAAACAACCCAAAAGACAAAAATAATGAATATCTAATAAAGTGCAAGCTTCAAATTTTTTAAAATTATGATATTAGCTACATATTAATTAGTTCTAGGCGATCTGATTAAACACAATGTCACTATATTAAAAGAATTCACATATGTGAGTAGTGAAACCACAACATTGTCAAGAAAAACCATAAAATCAATGTCAAATTTTACTGAATTTTACAATTTAAGGGTGAAGCACATTTTAAAAGTACATACGAATGTGGCAATTATATTTTGATGTGAAATGATCAGAACACATTCATTTCTATTTATTTTTAATTTTTTTTCAAAAAATTTATATACAAAATAATATTTACAAAATAGCTTTAAAGAATATTCAAGTTCTAGATTTAAACAAAGCATTTTCAAAAGTTGCAATAGGAGTTGATTTTACCAGATGACTATGAAGCTGCTCTTGAAACAGACTTTTCATTGCTGGTACAAACAGTGGTAGCAGAGGGAGGTCATGTAGGTGAACCTAGATTCAAAGATTTTATTAATTTAAAATAAAAATATGACTTCACTGATGCAAATACAGAAACAGTGGTGAACAGTATAATTGCAAGACTTAATCATAATACCTTTTTTGATTGATTGCAATACAACATTAATAAAGAAATCCTATTCTGCACACTTCTTTGAGAAAGCAAATTTACTATAATTTTTTAAGATAAATATGAGTTCTTCTTTCCCCCTGTAGCAGTGAGATTAGGAAGCAATCTGACTGAAAAATGACGCATACTCAGTATTTATAGTAGCGGTTACGTAATAGGCTAGCAAATTCTAGAAGGTGCTGGTCTATAGGGAAGATCCTAAATTGCAGAAAATTAATTAAAGGTTGCTGGTTCGCAAAGAGCAAAGCAATCATATTTTTTATATTTTACATCTCCCTCCCCTCAAAAACAAGAGGCCGGGTGAGCAAAGCATTAGTAGACTAGTGAAGCATGAAGTATGAGGAAAAGACATGAAGAAAGACATCCAGGACATAGCTTACAAGGCTTTAACAATGCCCTTTATCATAAATCACGATCTTTTCTCATATAATTAGTAAAGTTTTTGAATTGTATACAAATTTTACAATGATTTATAAATAAACATATAATCTATAACTAAATTTAGAACTATAACACAATAATATATAGAATAATAATAATAAATAATAAATAACAATCATAAAAGTCCTCAATTTTTCTTAAAATGTTCCATTGAACAGTCCTGTCATAAAAATAGTTGAAATAGAATGAAATACTTTTTTAAAGTCTCTTGAGGAGAGTAAGTCAGTTCATTTTCATCTTGTGGACTAATAAGTTCACAAATATTATGCACTTTTCCAATAAATATGTTTCAATAATAATTTTTGAATAGAAGATATTTAAAATTTCCTTTTCATATAAAACTTATAAAATAGACAATTTATACAATTTGTAAATAATGTATTATGTGCATTCATTCTTCTCATCATAGATAATTAACAATACATTGACACATTTGAAAATAGTTTAAAAATTCAATACAAAACATTATGATACAATTCAATATAAATAACGATATAATAAAATAATATATTAACACTTTGAATCAAAATTTTGGCATGTCCTCACCAACAGATCAGCGTTAAGAGCTTGCTGATGGTTGGGTGGTGCTAGGTACAAAATATCAAAAAACCTCCATTGCCTAGTAAAAGGTAACTGGTTTTTGGCATTGTACATTGTATCAAAGTGTTTTTATAAAAAATAGAAAATTTAAATTTAAGACAAATAACTTGTATAATCAAGTTAAAGTCTTTTTTAGAATGTGTATTAGGATATTGAAATTCTTCATACATTACTAAATCACCTATTTTAAAATTACTAGGTTTAAAATGAGTATATCTTTATTTATTTACATTATGATAATCATCAGATCTTTTTTGAGCTATTTTTCTAGCTTCTTCTATTGGTGGATATAATTCTTGATTTTGAATTGAGGAATGATAAGGTAATTTTCCATACATTACGTATGATGGTGGGAATTTTGTTACAGAATAAGGGGTGTTATTATATTCTTCAGTTACTTGGGATAATAATTTTGTCCATGCAATATTACCTTGAAAAGAATTTTGTTTACATTTTAATCTAGTTGTAATCGTTTGATTAACATGCTTAATTTAACCGTTAGTTTGGGGTCTATTTGCAGTAGTTAATAATTGTTTTACATTATAATTCCTTAAAAATTGCTTAAATTTTGAAGATGTAAAAGCAGCATTCCTATCACTTAAAATATTCTTTGGTACCTCAATTTGAAAAATTTGTCTTAAGCAATTTATATAAGCACCAGTAGTTACACTTTTAGAAGCAAAAGTCCAAATATACCTGGTTGCAGGATCAATAATTATGTGAATATACTTTTTAGTAGAATTATAATAATTTAAACCACCAACAGTATCAATAGATAATATTTCAAAAGGCTCACTAACTGGTGGTAAATTTTGCATTAAACCAAACTTCTTTTGTTTACTTTTCTTATTTAACTGACATACTTCACAATGCTTGCAATAATTTCTAACATCGTGAACAATTCCTGGCCAATAATACTGAGAAAATAATAAATTTAGCATAGAGGACACGCCAATATGACCAAATTGTAGATGTGCTTTTTCAAGTAATTTAGTAAGAAGAGACATGGGAATTACAATTTTATACAGTCCTTGTTTTTTAATAGTTAACACATCATTCATTTTCTTATATTTAGGATTACAAACATTGTCTAAATTTTGATATTCCTTTATTTCTTCTAATAATAATAAACTAACTTGCAATCCTAAATGCTGACAAATAGGATTTCTAGAAAGTATGTCAGCTTCAACATTAGTGGATCTTTTGTTATACTTTATATCAAAATCATACATAGATAATTTTAAAGACCATCTAAATAAACGACCTGGAGGATATTCATATTTTTAAGCCAAACTAAAGCAGCATGATCAGTATGCACTGTAAAATGTTTACCATGTAAATAATAATAAAATTTATCAATTGCATTAATGATAGATAAACATTCCAGCTCAGTAATTGTGTAATTTTGTTTGTAAGGCCTTAATTTTCTAGAATGAAAAGCAATTGGATGTAAACTACCACCAGGATATTCTAAATTCTTTTTTTACGTCCCCTTGGGATTAAACTTTCCTTCTAACTGGCAAAATATATATCATGTTCTTATAAGTTCCTGCTCTTCCCAGATGACAGGCTCTCCGCTGACTTTGGCCTGGCCACTACTAAGGCCAGAAGTGGAGGTCACTTTATTATGGAGGCACCTAATAGGTGAGCCACCTTTGCCTCCTATAAAGGGATAAACATTTACAACCATGCCTTTTCTGGGATTCCAACACAGGTCCTTTGGTATCGCAGTTGGTTCCACTAACCACTATACTGTCTGGGTGGCTGTTCTAATAAGTTAAATGCGGAAAATTCCATACCTTTGTGTATAACATTTGTGAAAGTATTAAAGAATGAATTAAATTCTTTTTAAAAACTAACAGAGTTGAAGAGTTACTTTAAAGAGATAAATCCTTTTTTATGCATATTACTGATGAAAAGTTAACACTTGAGAAAATTTACAAGATTAATGGTTTAGTTCCCATTATTTATTTTTCAGTTTGTCTAATGAATACATTAATTATGCCTATATCTGCAAAATTTAGATTTGAAAGCATAAAACTTACTGTATTTTATTCATTTAAGCATTATAATGTCTTACTAAATGGAAATCCTTTCCCCCTTCTATAGGAGACACTTAAAGAGTTAGAATTTATATCTGCAAAACCCTTCCACCTTCACCTGCAAAATTCTATACCTTATATTCACCTTCACCTCATTTTGAAAATGGTATCGTCCATCACTGCCTATCACTTCTGAAGTCTCACTCAAAAGTTTGTCATTACCCTCTAATCATTTTTTGCAGTACTGCCACAATTTTTTTGCAGATAGCAGCTTTCATTTCCTCGGTTGTATATGGCTTATTATTCTAGTTTTTGACTTCAGATGCCCTCAGACAAAATAGTTACAAGGCGATAGATCTGAAGAACGTGCTGACCATGAAATATCACCTCATAGTCAGACCAGATGCTTCAAACACATTTCTTTCAGCAAGCCCGTCCAATATTCTGGCTGTGTGAGCTGTGGCACCATCTTGTTGGAATCACAGAACCAAATTCCTATGTTCATACAGTTTCTGCTGCAACAAGTTATGTAACACATTCACACAATGGGCAGAGGTTATTGTAACTGCCTTGCTGTTCTCCTATAACAAGTACAGGCCTGTAACCCCAAAACCTGCAATAGCACAACAAACAGTAACTCATTCACTATGGAGAGTCATTCATGGATTTTTCTTGGATTGTTCAGAGCCCAGCAACTAAAGTTCTGTTTGTCCACATACTCTGACAAATGAAAGTGAGCTTCATCACTTGAGAGAAGAATAATGCCATGTGGAACATTTTGCAGAATAGCCTCAGAAGATCCAATCACTGTTATTAAGTTCCTGCATGATTTGCATTGAGTCCATTATTTTACAGTACAAAAGATAATGTCTCTGTAATATAGACTTATTAAAAATGAAAATAAAAAATGGATGTATTTGTTCAAGCAATTTTATGGTAAGAGATACAGTAAAATAGTATTCATACATTTATTTTAAATATACTAGACATGTGAGACAAAACTGTTTAGACACATATAGTTAATTATGGAATTTAATACATTGAAATTTTCCTACTGTTAAAATTCAGGTTTGATTAAAAGATTGGAATTAATACTCTTTTCATTACACTTCAAATGCTTTAGCTTCTGAAAACTAGTATCCAGTGGTAACACTATCTAGTCAAACTAATTCATGACATTTAATCAGAGTACTGATTATAAAATAAAATTTCAAAAACTAAAACAGAAATATAAACATAAATGAAATACCTTCATAAAATCAAATGCATAACCCACATGTCTCTTGTCATACTCTTGCAAGATGGGAACAGCTAAGTAACGTTTGCTGAAATGAGTCATAATAGTGTATTGTGCATTCATCTTTTCAGAAACATCTATTACTTGCTGTGGAGTGCTAAAAATAAAATAAAATTTTAAAAAAAGGCACTAAGTTTTTAAAGCAAATAACAAATGCAAATCAAAAGCAAAGATGTGATTTTAAGTATATAAGTAAAATATTAAACATTCAGAAAATAAGTTGCTTCATGTGATTACATGCAGTAGTAGGTTAAAATTTTTATCCATTTCAAAATGAAAAGTTATACCAATTCAATATAAACTTGTACTACTAAGTTTCCCATTTTATTGATACATAAAATATTTAAATAAGTGTTCACCATGTATTTCTTCATACAAGCATATATATATATATATATTTATAATCAAAAGTATCCCAGGTTGCACTTTGTTACATACAGTGGTTAATGGAGCAGCTGCCCTTTCACTGGGCACTGGTTTGAATTATAATTATGGATGTTTATAAATGTACTATATTTTTGCAGAATAGACAGTTAAAAATCCATTGGATTGAAAATCCCCTTAGATAATCAATCCTGCCCCTCAGAAATATTCCAACAAAAAACTGGGATGAAACTTGGCAAAGTTGTGGTCTTGCATGCCAAGTGACCAAAGTACTAATTATCAACAAGCGCACACTTCCTTTTTGTTCCAACAACAAGTCTTATCATCTTGGCCATGATGAAATTTGTAGACTTCATTTAGACTCTTATTCAAATCAGAAGGTTAAGTAATAACAACACTACTGTGGATTCCATGACTGATATCATTCTCTTAGCTGTGATATAAAAGAAGACAAACAAGTATGCAACAATCATTGCAAAGTGCAAAATTCAAAACTAGAGGCAAATTTGGCTAATGAATATGGTGAAATGATTGGGTGTTACTACTATGGAAAATGTATATGCAAAATTTCTGCAATACCATGCATTCTGTTTATTTACAAATAATGTGAGTGAGATGTGGAAACATGCAGGAGCTATGATTGTGTAATCACAACCTGCTTGTCCATGCTACCTGTCAGACTGAGGCCAAAAAGGGCTGAAGAGGATTGTGAAACAGAACTGCATAAAATAAATAGAAACATTTTAACCAAGTTCCTGGATTTTTCAGAAAATGAACTAGCACAATAATAATTTGTCGAAACTTCTACATTTTGGATTTTCATGCTTAAGTAGATCCATATAATTATAACATACTAAGAACATAACATCACTAAAATCAATGCCATGAGTTGTTTACAGTAATGTAAAATTTAATGGTGATGCGTGATACAGTGATGATTTTTTTTACACTGTACGGCAATCTATTGGGCCTGTATGGGCAGAACGATCAGTATATATTGACTGCAATTTGTCTAAGTGATATTTGCAAATGGATAATATCCTAAATGTCTGGATAAGACCAATTTAACTTTATGGTTGATCATATGAGTTTCAGGTAAGAAATATAATCTTTTTAGGATGGAAAGCCTTAATAACCAAATTACAAAAGGGGTTAGAGGACTATTGCAGTAAATTAAAGCTAGTATTTTATTCCACATATATTTTTTTAAATCTTGCATGCACACACACACACATGCACATGCTAAGACATGCATATTAATAATATTATAAATTATGCATATATATATTGTTATGAAACGTCCACCATGTGGTAAGATAGCTTTCCCATAAAGCAGGTTTAGGGTTGCCAGAAGCCATATTTGGCGAGAAATTGCCCATTTGGCTACATCTGGCAACATGCCATTGACGGACAGAGAACCTTTTGGAACGAATTCTTATCGGTAATAATAGAAATTTAATGATAAATTTTGAAGAAATAAATGATATACGTATGTCTTTAGGAAATTATGAAAGTGAAGTACTAGGAAAGATTACCGTAAAATTTGCAGTAAACGTTGCAATCGAATAAACTGGATTGAGTTAGATAATGTGTTATATAATTCAAATCTAAGGAGAAATTTACTATTGGAAGCAAGGTTAGAAAAGGCAGGTGCTCATTTTATGATTTCAAAAGGGAAGATGTGGATATACTTTAATAATTGGGATAAATCTATGCTACGCTAAACGATATGACGGATTTTATCACGTAAAACCATTTAGATATGCAACAGATAAAAAGAAAGCTGGTTATGGTACAGAAATTGGAAAGTTAAATAAAAAAGAAAGCTGGTTATGGTACAGAAATTGAAAAGTTGAATAAAGTAGACGATGCGATGCTATGGCATCGTAGATTTTGCCATGTAAATTTTGATTATATTAAGAATACTAGTAAGAATCAAAGCGTGAAAGGGTTAGCAGTAATTGAAAAACCAATGGAGAAGTGTGAACCGTGTATTATTGCTAAATCTAGAAGAATAACTTTTAAAACTGTTCCAAAGAGATTGGATAAACCATTGTAGATGGTTTACTTAGACGTTTGTAGCCCACTCCCAGTTCCATCTAAGGGTGGGAGTAAACTTTTCCTCGCTATTGTGGATGACTATAGTAGATTAGTAACAGTGTATTGTATGAAAAATAAAAATGAATCGTTCCACAACTTTAAGAATTATTATAGGTAAATGGAAAGACTGACGAATAGAAAATTAATAAGTATACACACCGATAAAGGTGGGGAATTCTGTAACAGGCAGTTAGAAGTGTACTTAGCCGAAAATGGAATTAATGTTGAACACACAAACACGTACACCCCAGAAGAGAACGGCGTGTGTGAACGTTTTAACCGAACGGCATTAGACGCATTTAAAGCTATGCTTAATGATGGTAAAATGGGAAAAGAATGGTGGGCAGAAGCTTTTGGCTGTTTTGTACATACGTGGAACAGAGTAGGTCATAAAAGCAACCGAGCCCCTTATGAAATGTTCCTGAATAGAAAACCCAGTGTTGTTTATTTTAAAATATTTGGTTGTAAAGCCTATGTTGGCGTGCCAAAAACAGATTAGAAATAAATTACAAATGAGATGTAAAGAAGGAATCATGGTAGGATATGCGAAGGAAACTAGGGGTTATAGGATATGACTACCAGAAGAACACAGATTAATAGAAACCTGTAATGTGAAGTTTGATGAAAAACTGAATGCAGCAAATGGCACCCTGGACCAGAAATCAAAAATCTAAGTTTAAAAAACTAGAGGAATCTGAGCTATTAGCAGAATCAGAGGAAGAACAGGAAACTTCTAGAGAAGAAATAAAGTTGTCAGATGACAAATCTACCTCGAAAGAAATATCAAACTTAAACTGGCAAAGAAAAGCAGTTAAAGACCAGATGGAACACAAACAGACATATATTATTATGTAAAGGGAACAGACACCCGGTTTAGATCCTATAATGATATTGAAAAGTATTGTGAGGCAAGAAACATTAAATTTGAAAAAGATGTTTGATTTTAGTGGAAAAAACAAATCCTCAGGGAAAGTTAATTTTGTAGAACAGGAGACTAGCTCCGTGTCTGAAGAGGCAAATTCCGTAGACATTGTTATCCCACAAAATTTTAGCAGGAAAGAAAGCACGAAAATCAGTAAATGCCGAAGAATGGAATAAGGCAATGAAAGAAGAAATTGACACAATGAAGAAAAGAAAGGTTTGGGAATTAGTCGAAAAGCCAGAAAATAAAACTATGCTAGGAAAAAAATGGGTCTATAAGCTAAAAAAAAAAAATAAAAAGAATGAAGTGGTTAGATACAAAGCACATTTAGTAGCACAGGGATTCAGGCAGAAAAGAGGTGAAGATTTTGATGATGTTTAGAGTCCTGTAGTAAATTTTTCAATTATAAAAATATTTATCACTATACTGTTATGTTTATATAGATGGACTAACTGTCAGTTAAATGTAAAGAATGCATATTTATATGCAAACCTAAATGAGAAAATATATATGACCCAACCAGAGGGATTTATTGAAGAGGAAAATAAAGTGTGTTTATTACACAAGGCCATTTACGGTCTACATCAAAGCGGCAGTGAATGGTTTTGTGAATTTGAAAGTACTTTAGAAAATCTACATTTTAAGAAAATACAATGGTGTAATTGTGTTTATAAGAATTCAAATGTAATTCTCTTGTTATATGTAGATGATATTATGATTTTTAGTAAAGATCAATATAGTATAGATAAAGTAATTTCACAGCTGAGTAAGTTTTTTTATCTTAAAGTATTAGGCAAAACTAAAACGTTACTTGGAATTGAATTCTTAGAGAATGAGAATGGGGTTTTTATACATCAACAAAAATATATTGAAGAAATTTTTGAAAATTTAAACATTTCCAGATACCAATAACTTCACTTCCCATAGCTAAAGGCACTATTCTTACAAAATTAGATTGCCCATCTACAAGTGCAGAAATTGCAGAAATCCATACATTACCCTTTAGAAATATGTTAGGATGTTTAGTTTTTGTAGCTAACAGGACAAGGCCTGATATTACATATGCAGTGAATACATTATTACAATTTCAGGAGAATCCTGGAATTAGGCATTGGGAAGCATTGTTGAAATTGCTTGGTTATCTCAATAGTACTAAATTATATAAGTTAAACTTATCGAGGATTAAACATCTAAATTTATATTGTTATTCAGATGCTGATTATGCAAGTAATAGGGATGACCATGTGTCCATGGGAGGATTTATATTATATTTAGATGAAGTACCGGTAATCTGGAAAACTGCTAAACAAAAATGTGTACGTAAAAGTATATCGCCTTATTGGAGGCAGCAAAGGAATTAATGTTGACGAAAAATGTCTTACAAGATGAAATTTTGAAAGTTTAATTTAAGAGAATGTAAACTATTTTGTGATAACAAGTCTGCCATTGATTTTTCTAGATCGCCGATAGAAAATCGCCAACTAAGCACATAGACATAAAATATCACTTTATTAGAAGACTAGTAAATGATGGAGCGTTCGACCTTAAATTTATCACCAGTAAATTAAATATTGCGGACTTATTTACAAAAGTGGTGACTGCTGTTAATTTAAGGAAGTTTTGCTTAGATGTTTTTAGTGATTAAAAAAAATGATTGTTTTCGTATAATAGAACTGAACTATGAGCTTCTGTAATTCTGCGTAAGTTTTGTTTTTGACTTTGCATGAAGAAAAGAGAGCCGTTTGTTGACTATAGTTTTCCTCACGCAAATTTTGATCAGAGGTCAATCGGCGGTAAGCTAACGTGGTTGCTGCTGATTGGCCGATGACGTCAAGATCAGTTGGCTGAGTATGTATATATGTACGCCGGTATCGGCGAAAGGTGTGTGCTCTGAGTTAGCATTATGCTAGTTTTCTTTCCCTCAAATGGTTTTAAATGTAAAGGCCACAGTGTTAGCTTATTTTATTTTAATTTACATAATAAAGCATGAATTTTATTTAGATTAATCTTAGCTTTATTTAAGGGAAGCAAAATATGCTTTGCCTATATCCCCACTGCCAATATTACTAACATAAAAAAATTGTTTAGGTATTCCTACATGAGTCATTACTCAAGTTGTTATGTTTTGATAAACATGCAGTGATGAAAGGAAAGTATAATAAATAATGATTTGCCAGGTTGGCATCAGATCAACGATGTATCTATGTGGAATGTTTCGGTTAGAGATGTATGCCAAGCAGATATGCAGCAATGGAGCCAAATTGCTGATCGTACAAATTTATGCTAAAATAATTGTTTCTTCAATAACAAGGTGTTTTATTCAGTGTCGAAGCAAAATTAAGAATCAGGACTCTCCAGATGCTTTATTATGCGTGGAAGGGGGATCAAATGCACATGCGTAAAGCCTATGAGAAAAATCACTGTTAGTGGTTTTGAGGTCCGGATTTTAGATCATTCACTATAATGGATGTCCAGATTTCGGACTTTGTACTGTATTTGAATTTTTGTAAATTTATGTTTAGATCTGAACTATGTATTACTGAAGATTGACTATAATTCATAATTAATAACTGTTATATATTTATATACAATGCTAAAAGTTAGTTACTTTGTATAAGGAGTGGAAGTGTTTATTTTCTGTTGTATTTAAGCATACCATAGGTATCAGCCAGTAGTTAAGCTGATTTGCTTGTAGAAGAATTTATTTTTATTAAAGTTTATTTTGTTATTGTACTAAATTTTATTAGTTTCTAAAGTCCATCTAAATTACTGTTTTTTTTTTTTTTTTTTTTTTTTTTTTTAAATAATGAACAAACAGCTATAATGAGATGCTATATTACAAGAAAACTGTAGAGGTCCTTCTCTTTTTGTACTAAAACAAATGTTGAGGAACATAGTGAACTTGTTAGTGACTTATTGCTGAGTTCAAACAGAAGTCGTAGATTCAAGAAGGGTTAACTACCCTTTATTTCACTCAAAATAAGATGAACAGTTGGCCCCTTTGTTGAAAGACTCCACTGGGTCTTTCAATAAAGCTCCACTCAGGCTTTAACTCAAAATAAGAAATAAGAACTAACTAAAAGAGACTTGGCCAAAGCAAATACAAATCTAAATACTATGCTTGCTGTAGTTGGAGTTTAAATTAAGTTAGACAGAGTTTAACTTAATTTAAAGTCTGGCTAGTTTAAATTAAGTTGGCCCTTAATTTAAACTAGTTGGAGAATGTCAAAAGGCATGTAACAGCTTCTAGACAGATTTAGCCTGAGGGCAAACACACACTATTCAAGATTCCTAGCTCTCTCTCACGAAGTAAGTTGAACCTTCCTTTAATACTACTTCTAACTCATTTGCATTCAAAGCAGTTCGAAAAACTCATTCTGGTAGGGGGTTGAAAAATGAAACAAGAATAATAGGAAAGTATACTGAAACAAAAATAACTGTTATAAAATTAAAATATACTTACATAGTGATCAATTACATTTATTAAATTACAATACAGGAACTGGACCAAAATGTAGCCAAATGGTCTCCAATTTTGGTGACTTTTGGCGAACAAAAATTATTGCCGAAACCGTTGCCAGTTTTGCGATATCTCGCCAAATAACAGAGATATCCCATTATTCAATGTTAACTGGACGTATTTATACCTTTCTGGCATAGCTTCTCTCTCTAGATGCTTTCATGTTACAACATTACACAGAAAAATAAAACAATTTTGCATATAACTGCATGGAAATCATCTATCTATGTATAAAATTTGAAACAATATTATACAATTCTATGTTTTCGTATCATTTCTCATTTACATTTTTATGTGTTATTTTGTATTATTAATATAAGAAAGTTAATGAACAAAATGACGGGCATTGTGAATCCCAAAGGCTATGTATGTTCTTGGGGAAAATCATTTTCTTTCTATTTTTGTCATTCATTTATATATATATTGTACTGAATATTTATCTTCATTTCCTAACCCTGTAATGCTTTACCCTAAAAATTTATTTTCTGTCATGAAACCTTTTTCTCTTTGAAGTGGGGAATACATAAATCAAAATTCTAATTGTAATTGGCAATAGCCCCTAATATTCTTAATTTTATATATTTATAATACTTATTTTAATAATTTATATTAAATATTATTAGGTATATCCTCTTTCTGTCCTAAAAATAGTAATTACTTATATCATATCAATCTATACCCCATCATTTCAAATTAATCCATATCATATGAATGTTTTAGCCAATCAAAGAATAAGATTTGAACCAAAATCAAAACATTTTGACACTTTACCAGGATTTTTTCTGAATGTGCCACCCATTCCTTGCTTACTGTGTAACTGTAATTGCCTTGCAACCATCTCACTAGGATTTTGTTAATATCGATAGCTTTGCGCACTGGGTCTACCCCCAAATCGTCTATTAACTATGCTAGCTAAAAAAACTCATATACAACTACCAAAGTGCCCTACTCGGAATGAGGCTAACAAGCCTCGGCACCTTTATCAGTGAAATTAGTTTACCTGGACCTGTAACTGTGTATGCCCTCCAGCAATTTTGGGAAATCGAAGGTACTGGAAATTTTTCAGTGCATGGGGGAAATTATATAAGGCTGGAGAGTGCATCAGGTTTTGGTTGAGTTCAGAGTATTGAGAGATCTCTGTGTGAACCTCCCTTTTTTAGATGTGCTTTGCACTGTGTTGTGTTCAATGTTCTTAGTAGTTTGAAGTGGTAACTACTAATTGCACTGAGAAAACCTGTATGAGTACGTTTGTGCGAAAAATTTCAGAATTTGAGTATTTTTGTTGTTTTACAAAAAAAATTAATTTCATCAAGCTATCATCAGTTCTGTGTGCATTAAATCTCTTATGACCCCATCCATATGTAACAACATCATTGATTAATTGCTTATAACAAACACACTAATATAACTTCTTTTCTCAGCTTTTCATACAATAACAATAAAAAAGAAAGTAAAAAGTAAAATTACCTGTGCTTTTTCATATTAGCTTCGTATAACAAATTATCTTCAATAGTTGCTTCATGTATAAGTAATGTACAATCCATACCTAAAACAAAGTTCACAAATTTGTTAAATACATACAAGATATTGCATCAAAATGGTTTTTATGTTACAAATGTATGCAAGTAATTTACACAAATTATTTTTTAAAAATATGTCACTCAAAACTTCTACAATTCTTAAGTATATATACCTAGTAAGTAAATTCAGCATTTACTATTACTGTGCTTAGTTTACTATTCGCTTACATTATCTGAGCTTTATTACTAGTTTCTTCTTTCCCAAACCTTAACTTTTTTTTTTTAAACTTATTTACTTGTAACAAAGCTTGGATTAATTTACAATTTTTCTTTCGTGCTGGTAACATAGAATTATTTCTTTTTTAGTTTTAAATCTTTCATTGAAGAAGAAACAGAAGTCCTAACCATGTTAATTAGAATATTATCTACTCAAAGTTTTGTGAAAATTAATTTATCATTCCAGAATAACATATGAGTTACCTTTTAAATTATTGCAGGCCTTTTTGTCTAAACTTTCTCTAAAAATACTTAGCATTTCAAATACCTTGCAGCAAAACTTTAATTTTTTAAAGAAAATCTATGAAAATGATATATTTTAAAATGCAAAACTGTTTAGACTGGAGGCAGCAGAGGATGCTTAGAAATAGTGAATTACCAGTTATTTATTTAAAATGGCTCAGTAATAATATATATATATATATATAAAACACAACTGCTGGATTCTCACTTGGAATTTAAGTATTACCATATTCTCTTGTGTCACTTTTTTTTTTCAGATAAAAGCAGATGAAAATCAGGAGTACGACTTATGCACACAGAAGACTAAAATTTACAACAAATATATTACACTGGAAATTTACTGCATTTTGTAAAAAGAATTAAAAGAAAAATTAGAGGTAAAAATTAAGGGTGTGGCTTACAGTAAACATAAAAAACAGTAAACATAAAAATCATTTAACTTGGAAAAAAAAAAAAAAAAAAGGCTTGCTTGCCGTTTTTTATGTAACACATGTGAACTATGTGGGTGTATAAACTTTTCACCATGCATACCATATCATACTTGTAACATTCATACAAATAGAGGAACAAGATTTCATTTTTTGACAAAACATGAAAAGAGACAGAGAATGAAATTTTACATTAAAAATAAAATATGTATTTCCACTAATATGATTTAAAGACAAGTGATAAGTTAAAAATAATCTTGAAAACCGAATTCTTAGCTTTTTTATATGATTTTCAAAATATCTCAGAACCAGTAAAAATTCTCAATTATCCTTTCCATACCACTCTCTAATTTTGGTGATGAGGGCTACCTGAAAACTAAATGCCTACGAACTCACGTCACTATGTAAGATATCCTACTAGAAACCATTTCCTATTAAAATTATGCATGGTTGCATGGTAAAAGACATAATCTATGCTACCAGCCTATCTAGCTTTTGAAACTAAGACACAAGATGAATTATACGGATTTTGCACTACCTTTCATCACTTCGTCATTTGTCAATCATTAAAAGAAATATCTTGAGCATTCACTAAATTCTATTAACCTTATTTCGTTTTTCAAAATTTATAGCAATAGCTTTAACTTGATTAACTTTATAAAAGATCAGATAACACAATGGTCAGCAGTCATTTTCTTTTTTAAAATTACTATCTGCTACCCGACATTCAACTTCTTGCCCAGCATCCGTTTCCAATGATTTGAAATTTATACTTTCACTCTTCATGTTATATTTCTTTCATAATCACTTTGGTTTTGATTTGCATTTTCTAATAAACTAGCAGGCAAAGCAAAATTTATAAGTTCTATGTAACCCTGAAAAGCAAATGTATAAAAACATTTCAATATGAATGAAATCAGTTCATTCTTTCTAAGCAACAACCAATTCATAAATAATATTTTTATTTCCTAACCTGAAAACTAAAACTTTTGATACTTCAGGTTAATACATAAGATATCATGATTTCAATTTAATGTAATATAATAATATTTTCTAAATAATAATAAAAAATTAAGGTGTCAATAACAAATCCTGCCAATAATACTAACCTGAAACAACAAAAATTGGCAACAGCATATATTTAATTCAAATACCGACATTAACGAAAAATTTTTGACATACAATAATGTCACATGCTTTCTTCAACATCAGAATATGAATTTATGCAACTATATGTTTAATAATTAAGACACAATAACACGCTGAATAAATACTAATTCAGAAGTCAAACAACAAAAATCAGCGTTAATTTACAAAATTTTCACAGGACTAGTTTCGATGGTTTTACCGAACCATCATCTTCAGCTGCAAAACCGCAAATGAACAAGATAGGAAATAATGTTTAGATATGATAAGAAAGCCTGGACAAGAATAAGCAAGTGGCGCCATCTGTTCGCGAAACCAGAACTAAAACATAATTTCTCTAAAAGCCGAAGGCAATTTGGATTGGAATTAGGATCGTTAACTACAACAGAAAGATTTTTATGAATGTGAAATGCCTCTAGAAAATCCAGTTCTCCAATGGAAGATGTTTTTTGAATAATTTTGGCAGCAGAAAAATTGAAAGTGTGTGATTTTCGGACCAACAATGTTGAGCAACAGAAGACTTCTGTGTTTCCTTTTTTCTAACATATGCCTCATGTTCTTTGACGCGAAATTTTAAGGCTCTCTTAGTTTGGCCAATGTAAATTAAACCGCACTGGCAAGGAATCCTATAAATACCCCAGGAATTCATATCCGGAATGGGGTCCTTGAGTATAGAAGTTGGAACTGGAATTTTATTGATGGGAGAGTAAACAACCCGAAAGTTAAATTTCTGCAAAATATGTGCAACTTTATAGCTAATTGATGGAAAGAAGGGAATGACAACAGAATTTTTATAATCTCCTAAAATAAGAGTGTGGCTTTTAGTGTGTTGAGATGAGAATTTTTTAACTGCTTGATTAATAATGTTGGGTGAAAAGCCCCTGTCAATAGCTATTGCTTTTAAATAATTTAGTTCTTCATCAAGGGCTAGTTTGGAGGAGCAAACTTGAAGAGCACGGAAAACATAGGAATAAAATGAAGCTAACTTTTGTTTAGTCGGATGACATGATTTAAAGTGTGGTGGAAGGCAAACCGATGAAGGTTTACGGTAAAACTGTAGTACTGAAGTTGGATGTGTTACGTGTGACCAGAATGTCGAGAAACGGAAGAGAATTGCAAGTCTCAAGTTCAAAAGTGAACTGAATAGCAGGATCAATAGAATTCATTGTTGAAAGAACTCTATTTAAATCATCTTTATTACCTTCAAACAGGGTAAAAGTATCGTCTATCTACGTAGCGGAACCATGCCGGGAAGTTTAAAGTTTCAAACAATTTTGATTCATAATAATGCATGTAGATATCAGCCAGGATGGGACTGAGGGGCTTCCCATGGCTAATCCCTCAGTTTGCTTGTAATATTTATTTTGTAAAACAAAATGTGTTTGTTTCAAACAGAGTTGAGTGAGAGAAATTAGCTCATCAATTTCGATGCAAGAGAAATGAAATTCGCGAAGTCTGGTTTCTAGACATCTTAATGCACCCTCCACTGGAACATTGGTGAATAATGATTTTACATCAAAAGAAACCATGAGTAAGGGAAAAATGTTTTTAACCTTTTTTACAAACTCTATTGAATTTTTTATGGTGTAAATGTTATTGTCTAATAGATTGGAAAATCTAGAAACTAAATATTTAGCTAATGGATACGAGGCAGTACCTAAATTTGATACAATAGGGCGGAAAGGAATACCACTTTTATGAATTTTGGGAAGAGCATATAATCTGGCACAATTCGCAACAGATGGGATAAGCGAATGTTTTAAGTTGCTTGAAATGATTTGCGAAGATTTGATCGCAGTTTTTATTTTGGATAAGTCCGAAGGTGAAGGATCTTTAGGGATCGGATTATATGGTCCTTCGTTTAAGAGTTTAGTGACACCATCGATGTAAGTGTTCTTATCCATGACGACTATCTGGCCAACTTTGTCGGCCTTTGAAATGACAATATCCGGGTTAGAATGAATCTCGCGCATTGTAGCTCTTTCTCTCGCAGTTAGATTTGGTTTCAAAGGTTTATTATTGAATTTCACATTATGAGCGATAAGATGCCTAATCATTTCTTTCTGTGAATCTGAAACTTTACTGAACTTGAAAGCTTTTTCGATAGGAGCCAAAATCTTTGGAATCGAGGGTTTACAGGTTTGTGAGAAGTTAAAATTATATTTTAGAATTCTCTCTTGTTCTTCTGAAAGACTAACATTAGAAATATTAACTATTGGCTTGATGTTTACAATGGGAAGATTTTTTGAACTACTTGAACTGGAAGACTGTAAAAGAAGTTTTTCGAATTTAACTGCAAGGGTGTTTTTATGACGGTTAACTGCATTCTCCGTTCTAGACCAAGACTTTTGTTCAAGGGCAGTGAATTTTGGATATGTTTTAGCGAGTTCCAGATGAAGCTTATAGAGTTCATGTTCAATTTTGGACAATTGTTGACGTGTATCCCTTATCACGGACCGAAGTAAGGCAAGTTTGCAATTTAACAGAATTCTTGAAACGCGACTCGAAGGTTTTTGATTAGATTTGATTTGAATAAAATTGGGGATCAATTTTTTACATTTACATTTAAAGTAAAACGTCAAGATGATTCAGGAATTTTTGCCGTTTCAGGCGTAATTTAGTGAAACGATTAACGGATGAAGGCATGATAAACAATGCAGAAAATCAAACTAAATTAACTGAGCAATAATAAAGTACACACAAAATAGCAGAAAAATCCCTCACTGAAATGAATAGAAAACAAAATGTTTGTAAGCAAAATGCATGAAATCAGACAAGCAAAGCACAATATCCAAAATGTACAAAACATAAACATAACTTGAAAATTGCAAAAATGTACTCACCGAAACTCCTACAATCACAAAATGGCGGCGGTCACACCACGTGCAAAAAAAGAAAGCAAAATGTAAGCCTGTTTGGGGCTTCTATAATTAAGACACAATAACACGCCGAATAAATACTAATTCAGAAGTCAAACAACAAAAATCAGCGTTAATTTACAAAATTTTCACAGGACTAGTTTCGATGGTTTTACCGAACCATCATCTTCAGCTGCAAAACCGCAAATGAACAAGATAGGAAATAATGTTTAGATAAGATAAGAAAGCCTGGACAAGAATAAGCAAGTGGCGCCATCTGTTGGCAAAACCAGAACTAAAACATAATTTCTCTAAAAGCCGAAGGCAAATTTGGATTGGAATTAGGATCGTTAACTAGAACAGAAAGATTTTTATGAATGTGAAATGCCTCTAGAAAATCCAGTTCTCCAATGGAAGATGTTTTTTGAATAATTTTGGCAGCAGAAAAATTGATTATTTCCTATCTTGTTCATTTGCGGTTTTGCAGCTGAAGATGATGGTTCAGTAAAACCATCGAAACTAGTCCTGTGAAAATTTTGCAAATTAACGCTGGTATATGTTTAATGTTTGACAATATTATTTTTATTTCATATTTTGTAAAACTTCTTATTAACAAACTCTACGATTTGAAAGCGAGCAGTGGCAACACTTTTCAAAATAAAATATTTTTATCTCCAATGCACAAGATTGTTGCCATCTGGAAAAATGAGTGCAAAAATTAGTTTTTTCAGAGTTTTTAATTAATAGCTTGGCTGATTAAAATTGTGCAAAGAAGGGAACAGTCGAAATGGCTACCCATGAATTTTTGGAATTGGGAATAATATATATAATGCTAGGCAATGCTGTTTTTATTTCACATTTTGTAAAATTTAGAAATTTTGCATTAACAAACTCTATAATTTGAAAGCAAGCAATGGCAACACTTCTTGAAATGAAGCATATTTTTATCTCCAGCGTGCGAGACTGTTGCCACTTGGAAAAATGAGGGCAAAAATTTAGAATTTTCAGTTTTTTATTTATATCTCGGCTAATTAAAGTCATACGATGATAAGAATGGTCGAAACGGCTCCCCATAAATTTTTGGAATCTGGGGGTAGCTCTCTCAAAAATTTAACTCCCAACTGTTCCAGAGGAGATAATACCACCAATCAACCAACAAATAGACAGACTCACACAGATTTTTATATTTAACTAAAAATAATAAATAAATAGGTATTTAAGATATTTTTTTTCCTTTCATAAGAAGAAGGATAACAACAGTCAAATGAACATGTAACAAAGAATAACTATGTTTCAAACTGGCAAGACAAGTAGCAAGAGCCAAAATAATTGGCACAAACACAAAAGCACAAATATAAGTAAAAAAAAAAAAAAAAAAAAAAAAAAAAAAAAAAAAAAAAAAAAAACTTTCTTTTAATTTGTATTTGTATAATTTACATAACACTTATCCTATGATATATCATAGAGAGTTAATCATACATGCAATATCATACATCAAAATGACTTCTGTGAAATTAACTCCTAATTACATTAAGTCAACAATTTTACTTATATATTAAGAAAATTTACCATCATTTTAAGAAATAATGAAATTCACCTGCATTAATAAGTTTCTGACAAGGAGCTGTATCCCCTGAATAAACTATTTTCCATTCTGAACCATATTCCAAAATGATGCCATATGCATCTGAACAGTGTTCAACCAGAACTGTTTGAAGCTAAAATGTTTTATAATTTTGAGTAAACATTTGTAAGAAAATGAATATATCATATTATAATATCAAAAGTTAGTTTCTAAATACTTCAGAATTATTTCTAATTATTATAATTAAACTTTGTAAGTTTAAACTAATTGCAAACAAATTTATAAGAGAACTCATATACATATTTATAAGAGAACCTGTATAATTTACAACAAATTTCAATGAAAGCAGAAATATAATAGTAAAAATTTTCTGAAAAATTCTATTAATTATAAATACATTAACAAAATTAGAAAAATAATATAATTTAGCCACAATGTGGATTTTTATACATGTACAAAATGCTACTATCTATTTATTTCCTTATTAAATAAACTGTATTAAGAATAACTTTTTGAACAGAAATATAGAGCCAACAGAAAGTGAAAATATGCTTTTGATTCCATTACAGAAAATACAAATTTTGCTATGGTATCATAATATTTTGAATAGCATGTAGGATAAATGACTATCTTTTGCTAAATACATTACTACAGTTGAGATGAGAAGAACTTAAGTGCACGTTGAAACACTGGCTGACAATTTGCTGCATGCACTTGTAAATTTGGTCTGCAGTTCAATAAAGGTACGATGGCATGTTTTAGCCTTTTATCTTTCAGATGAGCTTCATTGGAAAAAAGTAGATATGTCTAAATCAAACAACTGAGGTAGCTGGTCGATGCCCCCGTAATGCATAACCAATAGAAATAAAGATCCTAGCAGTTTCACATTTGCTCTACCTGCTGAAACCACTACTGATGTTTACGAGGAATTATGGAGCCCTGAAAAAACATTTTAAGTTAACTATATTCACTTAATTGTTTTGTTTGCTTTATTTTCAAAGAAATGATGCCAAATGATTTCAAATTCCACATCATATTATCATTTTAACCTTATAGTAGCCAACCTTGAAATCTTAAAAATCAGGAGATTTTTGTGAGAAAACTGGAAGAAACTGGGAGGTTTTCCCACTGCATGGAGACATCATTTCAAACTCACTTAAATCCACCTAATAATGCATGGTTCAAGTTAGAATATTACTTGTAATTCATTTCTGATGTAAAACATATTAGCACTTAACTGGATATTTTAAATTTTATGTTCTTTAGCAAATTTCCTTTTTTAATTTTCATACACTTTTACACCAAGAAAATCCTGGGCAGAGAAGGAAAGCTTTTATTTATAAAATTACTTTTAAATATGATGAAAATAAAATTCATAATTAACATGCATAGCATTTGTGCTGATAAACTTAAAATGTATCATACATACAAATATTAACTGATTAAACATTGCTTGAATCTTAATACAAAAATCTACAAATATCTACAGTAGACTAAGACAACTCAAATGAAATTTAATGGGAAAAAATTTTATAAGACAAAAATTAATAAAATGTAATACGAAAAAATATAATTGATGTGAACTAAAATGCAATAAGAAAAATTATTCTGAAAATCACTGGAGGTGGGGGAATGGAAGTTCTGTAACCTCATTAATTCAATAAATTTCTTTTATTGCTGGGAAACATTTCCCATCATAAAAGGCTAAAAATTGAAATGTCATTTTGAAATCCAGGAGATTTAATATTTACCAGGAAACTGGGAGATGTGATTAAAAAAAAAAAAAAAAAAAAAAAAAAAAGGGGGGGGGGGAGTCTCCTGATTCTACAAGGAGAGTTGGCAGCTATTTAACATGAAGAGAGCAATGCCAATTTTCTAGAGCACAGTATCAGTACCTTGTTTACTGGCATTAACAATTTTGCTGCAAAAATGTTATGTTGCATGGATTAGTGTCCCATCTCAACTAATCTCTTAAATTAATTCATCATGATGAACACCACTCTAGCAATATGCAGCAACACTATACCTATTCATACCTGAAAAGTTATTTTTCGTGCATCAAAAAAATGAATTAATAAAATGTAATTATAAGAAAGGTAGAAATAAAAATTTTAGAAGAATGGTTAAACCAATGTCATGGTTAAAATAAATTACATTAGAGACTATTTTTTCCATAATTAAACTACTCAACAAGTTTATGTACACATTATATAATTACTTCAGTACAAGTTAATGCTTCAAAACACTATTTTTAGGAATTTCATTCAAAAATATGTGGTATAAAAATTTACAAATCTTTTTAAATGTTCTACTGTTTTGCTTCTTTAAATGTAAAAAAAAAAAAAAAAAAAAGCTTAAAAAGCAAACTTTGAGACTTTTTCTTTTAATTCTTGCCTGTAGAAATTATACAGAGTACCTCAATTTACATCTGCTTTGAAATATATCCAACTTGGTATACAACTATTTCTAAAATTTTTCTTTGGTATATGATATTTGTTTGGAATATGACTCAAGTTTGACGAGTCATAACTGTACATACTACACTTATGCTATGACTGCTCATGAGAGTCAGTACACCTGCTGCTACTATTCAGTAAGAAACCCTTGCTACAACTCTGAATTTTCAAGTGATTTTATATGTTTTCATGTTAATGCTTAGTAAATTCATTAACAATGAGTTTTAGGAAAGTTAATGAAAAGAGTCAAGCAACGAAGAAAATTGATAGGATTATCATGGAGGTGAAAAAAGGAGGTTGTTGAAAAGTAAGTTAAGTCTCAGATAACATGCACATCTGGGACTTGCCTTACCTAACAAAATCTGAGATGTTAAAAGTTAGAGCATGTTGAAAAATATCTTTTGACCTTGATAGTAGTAAAACATTTATGTACAGTGTTTTGTCCATGAATATTTCACCTACTGAATTTGTATTTTAGTATTAAACAGTGTTTGTTATAATAATAACAATAAGATTTTTTTATAAGATTAGTTTCATTATTTTCATTTACAGAGACTGTTCACACATTTTTTAGATGATGAATATTGTATTCACAAAACTAAATTATATAAAATTCTTGTGTTTTAAATGTTCTATTTGACATCCCTTATTCTGAACTATCTTTAGACACCGCAATTTCCAGGATAATAATGCCTTTTGAAGTGGCAGAAGAGGTATTCTATCCCATTCCTCCCGAACAGCTTTCCAGAGTCCTGTTAGGGTTTAGGGAACAACGTTTGGATAATGCAAGTTTTTAAAAGTCCGAAAGCACAAAAATCCATAGGTGACACATTCGGGAGATTTAGTAGGGATGTTCAGTGAAGGGTATGGCCTTGATACCAGTTTTTTGTTCTATTTCTTTTAGGAAATTTACAGTGGATTTTGATGTGTGACTGGCTAGCTTTGTCCTGATGGAGTCTCACAGATTGATGGCACTGTGGATAAAGCGATGGTATTTCATTCAGAAAAATTGGCGATAAAATATGTTCCTGATAGTATTTGGAGTTAATCTTGACATTTTTTTGCACTCTCTTTATTTTTAACTTGCCATTATAGGAAAAACCAGCAACAATCATGAATCCCTTAGAAAAACTTTCTTTCGATTCTTTGAACCATGTACCCAAGCTTCATCTATTGTGACAATTGTTTTCCATTTTTCTTTGGATAAGTGTTTCTCATATAGAATTCTGCAGCGTGTCCTGCGTTGAGCGATATGCTTTGGAAGAAGACGATGCACACTGCGTTTTTTCGCTTTCTTAAGATTTAAATCAACGTTTATCATTTTGTTTACAGTGGACATCGACCATTTTAATGATTTTGCAACTGTATTTTGAGTAGAGGGATTTTCTTTTAACATTAAACAACGTACCTTTGCAATAGTCAAAGATGTCCGTTTTTTCCTTGGATACTTGTTTGGAATTTTTGTCCCCCTTGAGGCTCCAATTTGACATTTTTTTCCTTTCTTGTTGATGATATTACCTATCGATGCTTTAGATATAAAAAAAACCATGACTCTCACATCGTTTTTGGATAACGGAGTATGCATATTTCTCTTCGGAAAGAGCGTAAATGTAGCCTTCGAACCACTGCTTTGGTAAATTCACTATTTTGAATAAAAACAAAACTTTCAAGCCACAGACAATAATTTTGACTTTTAAAAACATAGTACAATTGCAATTACTTCTTTTGCAGCAAACAAATTTTTATTACCGCTTACCAAAATCGTCTAAATAATGTGCGAACAGCCTCTGTATTTCTTACTGGAAAATTTTGTTTGGTACACCATTTGGAATATGTCCAAGGATCTGGAATGGATTAATGACATATACCAAGGTACAACCGCACATGAACGTCCATAAAGTAGTCCTCAGTCTAATTTGCATTAACAGAACTTAAAGAGTTAATCTAACTTGCACCATACTCTGTATAAAAATATGGTATGTAGTTTACGACATATTACAATGCATGGAATTGAAGCATTCATCAGATAAAATATTGGATGTTCCATATTAATACCCAGATCTATTTGAGTTTAATAAGCCATATTATCAGAGATCATCTGCAGCATATCTTCATTAACAGACTGGTTTGCTCCAGTAATGCACGCAATTTCCTGAAAAGCAAAGCTTTTCTATGTACTTCATGAAAAATTGAAAGGAATTATTTTGTGTGAAATGAGGTGGTCATATTTCCTTGAGTATCATTGTAACCACAGCACAAGGAAATTTCATTCATGATGTGATTTTAACACAGATGTGTTTTTGATGTTCCCCTCAAACTCCTCCAGAAATTTTTGTCATATTCCTAGGAACTGTATAACATAATAATGTTATACAAGAATGTTATACAAGTATTTTCTCTCTGCAATAAGCTTATTCAGTTGTATTGAATAAATTTCAATGGCCCAATGAAACAAAAGTATACTGCAACTAAACAGATGCAGATATCTGAAAAGATAAATATTGGTGATTCATTGTATCACTATTGTGCATTTAATAATCATTAAGGAAGATTGAAAAAATAAAAAAAAGTTTCCATATAAAACAGGAATAAACATATAGTTATTTTTTTACGGATACTTGTGAAACAATTTACATAATTTATACAGTTTAATTCAAACTTTTTACTTAGTCATGAAAAAATACCTTCAGATCTCCTAAAAATTTGTTCAGTTCGCTTTCTTTCTCTTTTTCATTCATCATATGACGACAAAAAAATGTTCTATATAAAAAGAAGAGAGCATTCATATAAGAAGAAGCATCATTCATATAATAAAATTATGCATATATTCATATTCAATATTTATAATATATGCATAATTTTATTAAAATAAGCTTTGATGGCAAATTAGGAAAGAACTAAATGGCCAATTAGGCTAACAAAACTAAATAGCATACTAGTGAAAACAAAACTGGGATCTTTATTTGCTGCAAAACAACACACACCAAGCAGTTTCCTATATAAAGATAATTTGTGCTAAGATATTAATTATACTTTGTTCAATTCTCCTTTATGTGAATTCATGAGCAGATGGTGATATAAAGTGAAAAACCAATTTGAAGAGATAAGTCAACGTTGTCGCATATACATCATTTTTAAAATCATTGTTCTATTCTCTTATAACACTGCTCTTGATATCAAAGTGAATTAGGTACTTTATTTATTGAAATAGCTGAACTAAGAGTGTTTCTTACATTTAGAAAAATTTTAACATCATATTGTTCAACAACAGAAAAGATCTTAAAATTGTGGATAACAAAATATTTTAGAGGACACATAACAAAGTATTTTTACCACCAAAACAAACATACAACTTGTAAAATCTAATATGTTTTATGTATGTACTATATCAAAAGTTTTAATTTTACTTTTTATGCTATTTATATTTATTTATGCATGAAGAAAAGTAACATTTGATGCAATTAGTCTTAAAATAAATTAAAAACACAAATACATGTGGCAATTTTAAAAACTGCAATACTAACAGAAATATTCACAAATATTCCATACATTATTTCACTAAGCAATTACATGTACATTATACAGCATGTAAATGTAGAATATTTTTAACGAATAGGGCAGGTAGAGCTGTGCCTAGATATTTTTTCACCTCAGGTAAAGAGATAAATATTTGCTCCTATATATGTCATAAATTGAACTATATATATAAACTTTTATATTCATCAAATGTATTGGTTTTAAATCATTATATATTAGCTCTTACAATACTTTAATAACTATTATATACATTAAGAAAAATAATAATAGTATTTAAGTTAAAAAATGGCAGTTTTTTGGTAAAGAGCAAATAACATTTAAGTAGTATAATTTGTAATTAAAGTAAGGAGTAATGTTCAAACACCTTCTTATAATTTAATTTTTTTTTTTTTTTTTTTAAGAAAGCAAAATCATCAATGATTTTTTTTTTCTTTCTTCCAAAATTTATTTGATTTCTTCACTCATGATTTATAGACAGAATAACCACATTTGAAAACCCTTTTTGACTAAGTGAAGATTTTACATAATTTTTACTTTGTTGAAGCTTTTCTCACTACTAGCAACAATAATTGGCAACATTAAAATATTCTTAATACAGGTTAAAGATTCCGCTATGACTTGTTAACTTGGACTAAGCTGCATTTGTTACATTTGAAAAATCTAAACTTGTAACTGCTTTATTATCTAGAAATAACATGTTTTTAGAAATAGAAATGTTTTACAAAATTTTTGCAGCACTTATACAATTTTGCTTGTGAAATTTAAATATATATTACTTCTTTCATTTTCACTATTAAATAATATTAAAAAAATTAGTTTATTAACTAATTCTAGGAATCTGATATGTTAATTTTTATTTTTCATTTCTCTTCATAATGCTGATAAATTCATATTTAAAGTTAAATTTTAACATTTCTAGAATGTTTTTAGAAATACTTCCTCCCTGCTGTATAGAAAATAATAATCCCACTGATGTTTGTTTCCCTAATCCATTACTGTAAAGCCCACAAGGAATATTTGTCTAAAGAGAAGGATGCTTCCATGAAGAAATTTCTATGGACAGCTGGCTCATATTTACCTTATACATGTAGAAAATATGGGAAGAGGCCACACAACTTACCGGAATTTGATCACAGGCTGATCACTCTATTAAGGGTATAGCTTCATGCACATTTATGTCTTTTGATTGCAAGATTTCATTTGCCTTTTCTGTTTCTTGCAATGTTTTCATAAAATTCTTTAACTGATTTGTTTTAAGATGCTATCATTCAAAGCAATGATTTACATATGTACATTTGATGCATAATTATAAATATTAAGTAAAAATAAAGAGCCAGAAATTATAAAAAATATGAGATACTGACTTTTCTGCCTCACACTAAATAATTACAGTTAATAATTAAATAAGTTCTCAATTTGATTTGATTAACTGATTAATAAAAAGCAGGCCAGATGAATCCAGTTAAAGGAGGAGTCTTTATGGGAAACTTTCTTAGGGAAATAAACATGTATTCCTGTTATTTATATCTGTATATGCACAAAACATGAAAGAACACTTGTTGCTGGTCCATTTGCCAGAATTTAAGACAAGATCAAACTAGGAATATTTACCAGGCTTACCTATTTGTAAATTAATGGTTATAATTATTCTTTTAAGAACTTAAGCTATTACTGACATTTTATAATCTAATTTTAGTTTTAATAAAAATATAATAAAAACTTTTTAATCATGGATACTTTAATAAAACATAGTCTATTTATTATCATTATTACAAATATTAGGAATACTATTTTTGGTATTACCGATATTGATAGAGATTGGTGCTTTTGCAGTCTTAAAACAAGTTACCTCAAAATTAGCTGGAAGGATTTACCATAATTCTTCCACGACAAAATTCCAAATTTTAACTTCTTTTTTATTTCTTTGGCACTAAGTAATTCATTTTAATATTTCACTATTAATAATAGAACTACTCAAGGAGAAGTACTAATAGTACTAAACAAAAATAAAAGGTAAGAGTTGCAGCTCAAATTATAAGGAGACAGAATAAAATTATTGATGTTGATTCTATGAGATTTTTAGGCAAGTTAATGTATGAAGTTTGTTAAATAAGTCAATTATGATATCAATCAATTTTTATGTTAGAAAAGGACAAAGCTGCACCATTTTTGAAAAAAAGAATTGCTATTTATTTATTTATTTTGAATTCAGCTGGATTGTTTACAACATAAAATTCACCTTAACCCTTTTCAAAGAATCTTAATTAAAATTTTTATTTGGGGATAAATGGGAACCCCAAATGAAAAGTATGCTAAAGAAACCTGATTTTATTAAGCTGATAAAGTAAATCCTAATGCAACATAATAAGCCAAAAAAAACACTAATATTTTATTGCAAATAAAAAAATGCTGATTCTTATGTTAAAATTATGCTGCGTCAAATGTAAACTAAGAAGCACCATTTTGTGAAAAAAACTGACTATGAAAGATGGTTAATGGAAATCAAACAATCGCCCATGTCTCATAGAGAATGACAAAACTGTCAATAATGTAATAATATGAGATTACCATAAATAGTGTTAATAAAATTTTGTTATTTAAAACATGATGTTTAGAGCAATGCTTCTTGGAAGTTTCGAAATTGAAAATTAACAACCATAATCTCTTTTTAAAATAAATTTCTAAATTTCTGTAGCTGATTTGGTGCTCCTTCTAGTTATTCAACAGAGGCAAGTGTTTTGTTCCAGCTCTATTGGAAGACATTATTGGAAATAAATTCATCACAGGAAGTTTTCTGGACAATTTTAGAGAGAAAAAAAAAAAAAAAAAAAAAAAAAAAAAAAAAATCAAATGAACGAACAAATGGTCAAAAAAGAACTAGTGTTGAAAGGTGCAAGATTTCACACTCTTTACTATCATGCAAGTGACTTGATCTTACTAGTAAGCCTGGCGACTTCTTGCACAGGTGGGAAGAGTAACAATACCGTGAAAGGGTGTAAATTACCCTTTTATTCGCAAACTCTTTGCTCAAAAATATGCTTACTTCAGGCTGACAAAACACCAACTATTTATGGTCAGAACTTAAGGTAAAATTACTAATAAATTCAATACAATCTCTGTGCTGTATCAAAAAGCTCTGTGCTGTATCAAAGTTGAGCTCTGTGCTGTATCAAAAAGATACAGCACAGAGCTCAACTACACAATTTATTTAGAGTTAACAGGCTGACTCAACAACCTACACTGGTGATAGACTTAATAAACGGCCAGAATGTGTAGCCGCAGCTAAGATTAATAGCTAAAGGACAGAATAGCAACTTTCGCTAACTAGCAAAATCACGCTCTGTCTAACCTTTTCATTTCACCTCTTTAAATACTCTCTTAACTTAATTTGAATCCAGCGAGGAAATGTGAGGGGGAATAAGAAGTTAAGAAAAGATACCAAAATCAAAAGAATTGTTTATTCAGACTAAGGGAAACCATACAAAGGTTTATTAATATTCACCCTTTGTAACTTTTTTAATGAAATATTTGTAAACTGTCTTAGTTTGTCTAATATGTGTTAAAATATACTAACAACAGATATTACAGATTCCTTAAAAATTCAAATCTTATACAAGCAGGAGAAGGGAAAATAACATAAAAGGCACATTTATGGAGAAACCAAGAAATTTTATAATGAACAGAATGAAAAAATAAAGGAAAAGTTATGATTCCTATAGTAAAAAAATGTTTATTTACAAAAAAAAAAAAAAAAAAAAAAAAAAAAAGAATGCTTCAGTGCCATATATGTAATACATGGTGTTAGAAACAATTTTCAAATACAGTGATACATTTTAATTTATATTAGATATATTATTAAAGTTTTAAACTATTAGCTTTTTACATTACTTACTTATTTACCAAACTAAGTACAGAGAGTTTAAATTCCCCCCCCCCCAAAAAAAAAAATTAAAACTTAAAACTCTTACATTTTGCTAAATGGAAACACCCAGAGAACTCATTATGCCCGAGGCATGAAGATAAATAGAATTTCATATCTCATGCAAAGGTTATAGTTGCCAAGGCAAATGGATGATATATACATGGCAGTGCAACATAATATGAGAGTTGAGAAATTTTGAAAAGACTCTGCTAAGGAAACTTTTAATGTTGAAAACTTTATTAGCTTAAAAAAAGAGGGGGAAGAAAAAGAAGGAGGGAAAACAAAGATGTCTTAAAATAATTAAATTTTTCAGTAAGGAGATATAAAAAAACAAATATTACGGGAATAAAAAACATAACATGAAAGTTAATTATTGTTATTATATTTTTAACAGAGTGATAAGATTGCGTAGGGGGGGGAAATACAGGAAGGTTTGTGATAAACTGTAAAGTAAAATTAAACTTATTAGTTATTATTAGAATGCTTAGAAAAAAGATAAACATTAAGAAATCCAACTTCATGACTAAATGAGTGATCAGATCATTAGAATTCATAATTGATAAGAAATTTAATAAATCTGCCACTTGATACAACAAGAGACATTAATTTATATGTTTCACTTAAGTTACTAGCCATATTTGATACAATGCACACTTGCAAACACAGCCAAGCTGGATACTAATGCTGACAGTACACTGGTTGTTAGCATTAATTAAATATAGCACTCAACAATACTTTGTTTTTTTAAATACGCTTTTCCTTTGAATAAATTTCTTGCTGTATTTTGGTTAGTTTTTCTTTATGAATAGCATCTCATAATTTTTTGGACTAAAAACGTTTAAAATTATAATATTTTAAAGCTCATAAACAAATAAAATACAATAGTCAGAGTTATAAATCTCTCATACCTGATATTTCTTCCAAATGATTCAAAGATGACAGCAAATCTTTTCAGACTCTTGTTTATTACATATGGTAAAATTAGATTTAGAGGTTGTGGATATTTACCATCAATGGCAAAAGCTTCTGTTCTTGCTTTAAGGATTTGAAATAAACCCTGAAATAAAGTTTCTGATGATTAAAAACTGACATTTGGGTATTAGCCAACATATGCCAATAATTCCTACAAGCACTGCAACAGCAATTCTTGATTTTTTTTTTTTTTTTTTTTTTTTTTTTTTTTTTTTTTTTTGCTAAGGGATGGCAAGGATGCTTTACTACTTTTTTTTAATTTATTCATTTTTTATTCAAACATCAACTTCAGATAAATTAGAAAAAGTGTATATTAGCATTGAGTCATTTTTTTTTTTTTTTTGGCAACCTTTTTCTTGTGAAGTTCTTAGAAAGATGCTTGCTTGTCTTGTACAGTACAAAGTCCGAAATTGTGAACCCCCAGGCTTTCGACTTTTTAAAATTTTTTAAAAAATCTTTAGAAAAGGGCGATAGATTCCGAGAGTAGCATCTTGCATCTCACTTCAGCATATGCTTAATGCTTATTGCACATGTGCGAAGCTTGATGCTTCACAATGTAATACATATACACAGAACACATTTTTTCATAAAAAGCATGTGAAGGGTTTAGATTCTGAATTTTACTTCAGCACTAAATAAAAGACCTCCACACTGAAAGAAACACAATTGTTTGTTAGCATAAATCTGTTCTATACCTGCCTTTTTGTTCGGCATACACCTAAAACCAAAACATTCTACATCACTGCTGATTTTACACCTGGCTAACTTATAATCCTCAATCCAACCTTGAAAATTGCTTCTATCACTATGACTAAACTCAGCTTGCAAAATGACTCATGCAACGATGTCTAAAACATTTTTTTTAAAAATATGAATAACTGAATACCAAACAGCATGGTAACATGGAATTATGTTTCACGATGACAGCCAACTGTGCTGTGAAGTGTTGAGTGTGTTGAAGAAGAGGAATTTAACAAAAATTTCCTACCATGTGCAAAAAATATATTTTGAAAATTATATTCATGGACATAAAATTACATTTAGTGCCATTTAGATTATGAATAACTTATTTATTGTTCTGATAAGTATATGTGGAAATTTATTTATTCGACACTCAGATAAGCTTTAAGCATATGCGAGAAATAGATATATATATATATAATAAATAAATAAACTAATGTAATTCAGGTTTAATTTCCTCAACATGCAATAGAAGCAAGATAAAATTTAGCTGATCAACTTAATTGCATATTTTATGATACATCACCTATAGGGTATAGGAGATGCTAGCTAAGCTTTATCATAACAGCCCTGAATTTAAAGGTTTCCGGATAAAAAGAAAAGTGGATAAGTAATAATTAAAGAGGATTTAACAGAAGTGTTCCACTGCAATGATTGTGTTCCAATGCTATCAACTAATGGACAGTGAAGAAATTAACTGTCATTGAAAGAATTGTTTAAAATAAAGCAAAGAAATAAATATTGAGCATTTTTCTGTTTTGTAAATCTAATCTGATTTTTTAAGGTCATAAATGCTTTATTATTTCATAATTTTAATCTTATAATTTCTGTACGTCATTTTACTAGATTTAAACTGATGATATAAAATCCAGAAAATTCCCAAATCTGAAATTGTTGAAGATCGTTGAGTCTGAATCTTGGATCTTATACTGTATTTAGTTTTATTGCGTTCTGTCCCATACATTTATAATACAACACAAAGTCCAAGATCCAAAGTCATTGGGACTTCAGTGATTCTGGATTTGGGTTTATTATTAATTTTTTAATAAGATGACATGTGGACATGACACCACATGAATTTCATTTATTGTTTAGGTCAGACAGAAAAATGCTAACCTCCCACCTCCACAACAGAAAAGCAGGTGAAACTGGTATGGCTGCAACTTGGTGTTAGAATTTAGGGGCAGCAAAAATTTTAGAATTTAGAGGAGCACCCAGCAGTAAAAATCAGCAATGGCTGAATTTTTAGAATTTAAGGACGGCAAAATTTGAGAATAAAGCGATGTACTGGGTAAGAGAATTTCGGATCTTCAGACACTGCATCACGCAATAAAATGCATCCTAACCACCTACAGCCTCTCAAGGGCTAAAAGCGTGACCCTGACCACCATTAATGTAATCTCAATCAACATATTGCAGGGTTGTCACTCAAACAGGAGAATGAAATTTCCTGACTTTTCCAGGTATGTTTTAAGAAAATTCCAGTCTATCCACTTAGTGTATGTTGGCTGTGCTGAGAAGTAAATTAATTATGGTACCACTTGAAAACACAAAAATTTGCCAATTACATATGACTTATCCCCAAAGCATTACTATTATAACTATAATAAGAGTTGTTTTCTCCATTGAAGATTGAGATTAGAATCTGCCCAATTTGGATTAAAAAAATTTTTTTCCCAGACATTTTGCAGCTAAACAAAAGAAAGAAATCTATTTAATGATATTTTAAAATGAATTCAGGTATTGCATATTTATTTAGCAGCATACATAAGCAAAAAATATGTACATTAAATTTCGTGTTTTGTGTCATCATACTGCTAGAATTAATTTCGGGAGTATACCAAAGAAATTTGCCTGAAATTTGAAAGTATTATTAACTAATAACAAATAAAGAAGTAATAATACAGAAGGAGTGACATTGATTAAAAACTGAATTACAATAATCAATGATACTTTGGCAAATATAATTATAGTAAATGATTAGCCTAGATGACTGATTACTATTTTTTTTTATTTTACTGCAAAATGACAAATAAGGCATTTATTAAAAAGAAGGAAAAAAAGTGTTTAAAGATTTTGTGGTAAAATCCTAGTATATGGTATGACCTTGGGATGATTTTGAAAATTGTCGCCAACACCTAAATGACCCGTTTAATGCTCATCATAATGTTGCCAAATCCCGTGTATACCATATACTAGGATTAAACCAATTTTGTTTTATACAAGAATGGATTTTCTTTCGTTCAACATGCACTGCATATGAGCATGTGACTCTCACAATTCTCTAGGTTACTGGAAACTTGCTTTGCCTTTCTAAAAGAAAATCTCATTGGAGATGTGAAAATTGGTCCTATGCCAGCTGCCCGAACAATGTTCCCGCAATATATAATTCACCAAGAATGTGATCACTTTCAACGCTGGGGGGGGGAGGAATAACGTATGAAATCCCCTGACTTTTCCAGATTTTGAGTAAAATATTTAAATTCCCTGAATTTTTTAGTCAATTTTCAAATTCTCTGACTTTTCCGGTTTTCCAGGTAGCACTGCAACCCTGACACTGTTATTGACCATAGTGTGATTCTATAGTCAGCAGATGTTTGAAGTCGACATGCACGAATCTCAGTTCACAGAAAAATCCCATTTATGGGATTTTTACCTGCCCCTCTTTGTTCTTATATTCTCGGTTCATAGACTTCGTAAAGGGAGGTTTATTTATTTAATTATTTATTATTATTATTAGGCTGGTGGTCAAAAGGTCTGGATTCCAGGTGTCAGGATTTTGGACTTTGTATTGCATTTGCCAAGAAATTAAGTAAAATTAATCATTTTTATGCATGTAATATTTTATTAAAAAATTGTAAGTCTTCCAAATCTCACACACTGACACTATATATGACAGAAGATGCAAGATGGAAATGTAAAATTAACAAAACTGCCTAATAATAATAGCAGAATAAGTCGCCTGCTTTCTCATTCAGCAGCTTTTACATTGACAAGTTGCAGAAAATAACAGTCTGCTTGATGTTATATCTACCTGAATTTGTTTATTTGATCTGCTGATGCTGAAACTATATTTCATTACTAAAAACACCAATGGGTTCTTGATGGAGTATTGGCAGATGCTGGCTTATTGCCAAGTACCTAAAAATTTTATAAAGAACTTATCACATAAAATATCTCATCAGTTTTACAATATTTCTAAATCACTTTTTTTTTTTTTTTTTTTTTTGTAAATTTTAACCTTTAAAAAATTAAATATTTGGACATTTACCAAATAATGATCAGTATGACGATGTGAAATAAAAATACAAGATAGCCTTCTCAGAACATCATTAGCTCCAGCCTGCCCAAAGTAACGAACTAGTTGAGTAAATGTACCTTCACCACAATCCAACAATATACTGTTGTGAGAACTGAAATAATAATATATTCTAAATCAAAATCACACATAGACATAATTCACAAATACTTGATTTATACTTATACTAAATACTTGATGTTACAAACAACTAAATACTTGATGTTAGTATTTCATTAAGGTTTTAACATACTTAACATTAATCAAAATAGAAGAAACATTGCGGTATGCAGTGGATGTTGCAGAACCAGTTCCAAGAAATAAGACTTCAGGATAAGGATTTCCTAAAAAATGCAATTATGTGATTATTTGTAAAAGGTTTAAAACGAATTACATTACATTAAAAGTGGAATGAAATGAAAAATTCTGTAAACAAATTGCTTTAATTTCATAATTAAAACTATAAAGGGTTAAAAATTTCAATATCTACCATCCTGTCTTGGTATACATTTTAGTTTGTTTTGTAAAATCTTTAATTTCTCCTCAAATCCTGGCACAGATTTGGCATTTTGAATATAATTTTCTGGATTAAGACTGACGGTATTAGACCTAAAGTATAAAAATACCTTTTGTTATTTCTTCCATATGAAGTCTATATAAATTACATATACGTTCATTTCTTAAGAATAACACTGTAGGACAAAATGACAAAAACCTAGTTAGTTTTGAAAACATTAACACATGGTTACCATTTTGAAAACTATTAAACAGTTCAGTAATTAATAATTTCAGTAAACACAAATTACTGATTTAGTATTTGGTAAAATTAAAAATAAACAGATACAGTGCACTTGAATGCAATGATGTAAATACTTTTGTTTTTGCTACATAGATAATCCTTTGTTCAAATCACATTCATTTGATTTAAATATTTAATGCACCTTTCATTTCAGGAATGACATATCACTATTTGTAATCACTTTTGTTGAATACCACTTATCATTTAAACGAAAGAGGCTCACAGAGATTTTTAATTTGATCAAGATCATGGCTTGTACAATACAATTTTTTTCTATTTAAAACTATTGTTACAGAGAGGCAAATTCATGTTACAAAACCCTAATTAAAAAGCATTTTTGAGAAATATTTTATGACAATGATGAGATGCTATTGTGTACATTTTGTATTTTTTTATTGTTTTTTATACTATTTATTTTATATTTATTTATTTATTTTTATTATAAAAAGGTCACTTCCTGCCTTAGGAGTGGCCAATGTTGAAAAAAGAGAGGAGGGAAAGGATGCCCACCCTTCGGGAGGGGGAGGGGGAATGTTTCTTATGTTGCCAGTTATTTCCTTATATTATATAAATTTAAGGTACAATAACTGTTATTTTTTTTATATAACTATGTATGTCTCAAAAACAAATGAAGAATCAGACATCTGCAGAAATTCATCTGCTTTCCAACAAAAGCATTTTACATTAGCTAAAATGATATCTTAGCTTCTAGAATTATGTAATAATGTAATAATTGATGTAAATAATAAATCACGGTCAGCTAAATAACACAGTACTGCTTGTTTTCATAATATTTCATAAAAAACTCCAAAGACACAAAAAATTGGTAAATCTGCCTGCAGCATATATATTAATATTAGCCTATTACTGTTTATTTGTTCTATAAAAACACATTAAAAAGAAATAGATGGCCCTGCCAGTGGCCGAATGATTAAGACCATTAAATACTAAGAGTTTGTTTATTTGTTCAATAAAAACACATTAAAAAGAAATAGATGGCTGAATGATTAAGACCATTAAATACTAAGAGTTTGATCAGGTTCAATCCAAGGCAAAATGGAAGGCTGCATGGTTGATTTTCAGGGTTTTTCCCCAAGTGTAATGAAAATACAAGTCATTTCCCTAAGAAAGTCTTCCACAAAGACATGCACCCCATAGGCAGACAGCTCTTACATCTTTTCCATATTCAAATAACCTAATGTAATCCATCAAAAAAAAAAAAAAAAAAAAAAAAAAAAAAAATAGGGGTAGGGGGAAGAGATCCCAAGAAAAGTTAACACTTTACAAGAAACATAACATTTATTTTATACAGAGTTAGTATTACAGTACAAAGTCCGAAATCCGGACTCCTCAGAACTAAGCAATTCCAGATATTAGACCCTCAATTTAAATCTGGTAAGATGGCATGCAGAAATTATTCAATTAAAAATATGAAATTGTAATTTATGAAATAAAGAACAATTATGATCCAAATGGTATCAAAATTTACAACCAAAACAAAACAAAGCTTAATATTTATTTATTTACTTTATTAAACATTTCTTTCAATGCAAGTTGTTTAAGTTGCTTCCTCAAAAAATTCAAAAGTACCTTTTTCTTTTTTCTTATGTTACATACAGTCGGCTTTCTAATACCATACTCCTCCCAGAATTTTGAGACGGATATGCTTTTATCCATTGTTTGCAGCAATTCCACTTTTTGTTTAATGGACATCGAAACATGGTTTCGCTTTATAGATTGTTAGACAGCCCCAGAATTGGAAACTCTTTTCGACATAATCGAAAATTCAAGCTTAATTTTTATAAAATTGCCGTAATAATAAGAGTCTGCAAAAAATAATAAACTGGATCAAATTAGCAGATTAGGGAGCAGCACAGTCTGCTACATTAACTGAAATGCCTTAGAATCAGTAAAGATAATTTTAGCCTAGCTTAATAGCATCCGTTATACATTATTGGCTGTGTATTTGTGACGAAAGCCAAGTTGTTTCGCTAAATTGAGTCTTGCTCCTATTGCGTACTGAATTAAGCCTGAGTATTAGTTTAGCTATTTACTATACGCTTATTTCTTCTTGTACATGCTTGAATGTAATCTGAGTCCTGAATAAATAAACTCCCACATATACTTAAGGTTTTATCTAGGGCCGGTGCTAGATACTGCCTGGTGTAGTCTCTACGAGTCCTAAATTCTGTTACAAAGCGCCTTCCTAATTTTCCTAATTAATTAAAATTCTAAATTTTCCCCGCACCTAAACTTTGGATCCCAGGTGCTTTCCCTAAACCATAAAAAACTTCTCAGCCCTTAATTTTGCCACTTGGGGCTTCCCCAAATTCCAAAAATTTCATCTTTTCAAAATTCTGCCGTCCGATGCTGACATCTGCCACTGCATCTAGGTTTATGGTGAACAACATGTCAGTTATTCTTAATTAAAATAGCACCAAATGTAATCTTTTGGCCAGGGAGTTTCATTAACAAAATCTATTTTTAGCATAAGAAAAGAAATTTTTGTTGAATTTTTCTTTGTCAACATTTCTTAGAACATTTAAAAATCTATAATCATCGCCAAGCATAATGTTAGCATAAAAGGTTGCCATACTCTTGTTATTCAATTACTAATATATAAAAAAAGTTTAGACATCACTGCATGAGTTATTACTGAAGCTGTCATGTATTGATAAACATGCGGTGATGAAAGCAAAATATAATAAATAATGACTCGTCAGGTCGGCATCAGGGATACAAAATAGGTGAATGTTTGGTTTGAGATGTATGCCAAGCAGATACTCAACTACGGAGCTAAATTATTAACCTCCCAAATTCATGCTTACATGATTGTTTTTCCATAGTGAGGTATTTTATTTAGTGCCTAAGTGAAATTAAGAATCGGAATTTTTAAGTGAAAATCTCCACACGTTTTAATATGGAATGAAAAATCAATTGCGGATGCGTAAACCACACACAAAAAAAATTGTTTGTGGACAAGGCTCTTTAGTTCTCTAAGAATGAGAATGAATTAAGGAAGTACTATATTTTTTATTTTGGATAATTATATCATTTTAATTCCAATTTTTAATAAAATATTTCATGTGTAAAATATAAATATTATAAAACAACTGCAGGGTAATTAAAAATGTTTCAGGCAGACAAGGAATCCAAAACTATTTTTGCAAAGGAACTTGTAACTATACAACAGCCATATAACTTCTGATACTTTGTTGCAAAAATTATAATTATTTTTTTGTCCAGAAGACTGAGAATTTTTCACCCACCCTCTGACTTATGCACTGATGTTGAAATACATATATTACCTTGGACAGCATGAACATTCAGCATTTCCTATGAACATTTAAACATATGGAGGTCTAATAACTTTCTTGTATTTTCTTACCTGCATTCCTTTATTTTTTATTCTTTCTATATTACTAACAAATACAAGTGGCATTTGTGGCTACATGTTCCTATGTAAAAATGGTTCATTTTTGCACTCAAGATATTAAGACCCTTCTGAAGTCTCATGTATATAATGATCTAAAATCCACTAAAAATTTTAAAAACCTGAGAGTTTTTATAACTTTTTATTCTTTGCTCTCTCTCCTTTTTCTCCCTCTATTAGAAATGTCTGAATAATTTTTCAGAAAAGGCATTTGCATGGAAAGCTTGAGAACTAACATCTTAACAGAACAATATATACCTACTTAATTAAAAGACCAGGAAACGAGCGAAACAATAATTCTTTAAAAGCACACAAATTTAGAACAGAATTGTAAAATTAACAACAATAACAAAATTAGCATAAAAACAAATAGACTTTTTAAATTACCAGAAAATCATACTAACAAAATGCAAAAGAAAATCACACTAACAAAATACAAAAATATAGATATATTAAAGTGGAAAGAGGCCTCAACTGAATCAAATAGATGACAATTAATATTCAAACTTATTGTAATATAAATATCTACTTACATGATTTTGTGTTTTAACACATTTCAAAATGGAGTTCAAGAATTTTTTTTAAGAAATTTAAAACAAATATACATTTGCTTTTGAGAGAAAAATGAAATGTAAACGCTTAGAAAACACTTTCTAAATAATTACTGCATCATAATTTATTTAAATATATCTTACCAACAAAGTTTTTCTACAGGCCGAAAATGGTACTGTAAGAATGGAGGGGGCTGCAAAATTTTTCTATGTAAATGTGAGCAAACTGGCGTAGGCTGCAAATTTCAAGATTAAGATAATTTAATTCTATAATATTGAATATAAATGAATTATAACACAGATAACAAACCAAATCTTAACATCGTACTTTACTAAAAAAAAAACAACAAAAATAATAAATAAATAATAAAATAAAATAAAATAAAATAAAATAAAGCCAATTTTCCTTACTAACACAATGACTTTTCTTTTGACACAATTTCTTTAGAAGATTTGAATTTAACAATTTCTTATTATTTTCAGCTTTAATAGCTCAAAATAAATAAATAATTGTAAGTTTATTACCTTCTCACAATGGTACTTGTAATATATAAAAAATGTTGGAAGAAATTTTTATGATTTTTGATTCAATAAATCACACTGCTAAGGTCTTGAATGAATGCAGAAACTTAATCCTTATAAAACTAATTTTTAGTGTCATAAAAAAGAAATATTTTGGTTATGAAGTAATTCTATTCTTCCTACTTGCATAATTTTTTTTGGGGGGGGATATTTAATAGTTTGAAACTAGAGGAGTATAGATGAAAGAAGTGAAAACACTGAAGTATAGATGATGAAAATTAAGAATAATGAAGGCTTTAGCATTTTGTTGGACCACAATACTCTTTGATGCAGTGAATCAAAAAGAATCAGCAGAAGGTTGTGAAGAAGATAGTGAAAATAAAAGTGAAAGAGAATGATGAGCAATAATGCAGAACTGCAATGTGCAGATTAGCTGTTATATTAAACAGGCAAATAAATTGAATTAAAATTTAATGACATCATAGCTTTTCATGGTATTTGCGATACTGCATGAAAAAATATTAATACGACTGCTAAAAAAGGAACATAATGAACCTTTTTCAACTGCAAAAATTGTAAATCTATAAAAATGTGTTGTTATTATTTCAACAAAACTCTTCAAATATTACAGTGTATGCCATTCATTTAAAAATACTGATAACTTTAATTTTGTGATAATTAATGCTTGTGAGTACCTTTTTTGGATTATTCATATTTTTTAGTTATTTTTGTGCTTCTTATCTAATTATTACAGGTAACTCGGAATTCTAGTCATTTTGCATTTTATAAACTTTAAAAGCTTTTTTTTTTAAAAAAAGACTTCAATTGATAATGATATATAATAATTAAAATATTTTAAATTATGGATTTTCCTTACTTTTTCAACTTCCTGTATTAAACCAAATATTTCAGGATGCAGAAGGTGAAGAATATTCTGTGTTTGATGAACTGCTGCACTGCTCATCGATGGATTATAAGAATTCAATAGAAAGTGATATGTGTTCTGATGGAACCTGTACAAGAAGATTAGGAATGCAATATACAACAAACTACTGCATATATATATATATATATATTTGATAATTACAAAACAATTTTTTAAAAACAAAATATGAACATTCTATAAATGCAGTAAAGAATTTTTAAAAAAGTTAAAACAAAAACTTTTCAAACAAGCAATACCCCATTTCAATAAATTTAAAGAGAAAAGCAAGGATTTTTGTGGAAGAGAGATTTCAGTGTTCCTCCTCTTGATGAAGTGGCATTGAAGCTGATTGAATTCATCTTCTATTATGTTTGTTTTTCTTTAAATTTATTGAATTGGGGTATTGCTTGTTTGAAAAGTTTTTGTTTTAACTTTTTTAAAATTCTTTATTGTATTTACAGGATTATACGAAATTTATTAATTATGAATTTCAATTTTTGGTCTTATTAAAAAATTAGTTCGAAGTTTCTTACTTTATGTCTTTATGATATATATATGTACTTATATTCCAGAATAGGAAAAATATTAAAATTTTTCATAAAGTAATTTTTTTAACACATTTTCATCAATTTTTGAATAACTGAAAAATCTTATTCTCTAAAGATGAATTTTCAAAATTAAGAACTTATGCACATTTTACATTTTAGGATTCACTGACTTCAGAAATATCTTTTATTAATCAAAACTAGTCACTTAATTTTATAGAATTTTATTTACAAACATTTAAGAATTTAATGTTTTACACATATTATTGGTTTAAAATGACATAACAAAATAGTTTTTGTATTATATCAACAAATGTTCCCTTTCTAGGGATTCCATTAAAAATGCTATGCATATTGAATACATTTTCATAACATCTGATGACAATTTTTTTTCAAATTTAATGGAGATTCAACCATCAAGTTAGCTGATTAAGGAAAGCAAGGAGGGATTCTACATTTAATTTTGCAGCATAATAAATGTCAGAAACTGCCACACATTATTTTCTTCTTTCATGTCAGTTGATCTAGGAGATTCTACGGCTGAAAGATGATTTTTCAAAAATACATAAGGTTAAAAATTAAATCCTCTTATAGGTGTCTCAGTTAAGGAGCTTGCCAATAAATCTGAAATATACTATACAATTGCAGATTTTTTTGAGGGAATATTGTTCATCAAGATGAAAGCTCGTTGAGCTTCAACTAATGGCAAAGTTCTATAATGCCTTTATTTCATCATACTATTAGGAATTTTGTGATACTGATGTTTTCCTGTTAAAGTTTTCTCAACAGAATACCAAAAATTATTCATTTTTATTTCATGCATTAATATTAAATAATTTATGACCTGTGAAATATGCTTTTTTTAATAAATAAGAAAATAAAAAAGAACAAGTAGCTTGCAAATTAAAGGAAAATTTAACAAAGGGTTCATGCAAGCTTTCTATAGCTCACCACTGCTATGCTGACCCAAATGATCAAAGATATGAAATTTTCATTGATGTTTCCAGAATTCAAAAGAGAATGGGTGCCATATTTATATACTACTATACAGCCATGTTATTACAATAATAATAATTAAAAAAAAGGTGGGGGATCTAGACATAATGATAATTCCCAAGTCCTTCATACTTAATTAACAGCATTAAAAGAGGCTTTTATACAGATAATCATTAGTATAGTAATTTTGGAATACAATGTAATTAATAATTTTAATTGGACTGCCATTAAAGATTTTAGTAACAGTTGAAATACTTTATAATTTTTAGCATCTTATAAAAATTATAAAAATTGAATATACAATAGTTTAGATGCTGAAATTATTTTTTCATCAATACTGAAAAGGACTGATGTAAAATTACTCTAGATACATGGTCACTATGGCATCCATGATCATGAAACTGATTATTCGTTTGCAAAATCTAATCTTTTTAGATTATGTTATCACAAATTATCTTTTTAGATTATGTTTCAGAATGTTGATTATAGTTAGGTTTTTACATTATAACAAGGCATATAAAGTTTCCACAGTAAGTTTTGAATGTACTATGTAATTATGGAAAACTATTTGAAGAGGCAGATATTAATCATTATATTATATTTGGAAATTTCTACTTAAGTTAGCAGCGAAAAGAGGATTTTTCAAATTAAAATTGATATAAAATATTTAATACACTGGAAACCACATTTAAAGTTTTTGCAGATGACTTGTCTGCTTTATCAGCCGAAGCAGGATTGGATAGTTTGATCAAGTTCATTCTAACTTACAGAAACAATTCAAGAAACAACACAAACACTTAACTATTTACATCTTTTTGAAAAATGTAAAGATCAAATACCTGTTTATCCACTCTTCATATTTCTTCATTTTTATGACATCAATTGGTGAAAAGTGAAACACAGCAGAAATATTATCTGCACTATCATGAGGTAGCTGGCACTTGTGGAACTTTACTTCATTAATAAATGCATCCAAATATTCTTCTGATGGGCAATCAACAACTAATAAATACATAAAAATTTGCTTAAAATAAAACTGAACAAGATAATAAAAATTTTAGAAACAATCAGAATCAGAACATAATTAAAAAAACAGTTCATAATTAATAATTTAAAACTATTCCTGCAGTTTCTAAATTATAATATCAGATGGTCATAGAAAAATAAAAAAATGTTCAGCAATTCCTTCCCAATTCATATTTTTGGTACTTAAGTAATTTTTGTCCACCATTAAAGCTGGCAACAATCTTTTCAAATTTAATCCTTGGGATGGGAGTTTGAAAAAAGAGATGTTTTTTATTCAGTTAGATAATTATAGACCACCTTTCATTTCATTACATATTCAAGATATACAAGTTATAGACATAGCACATATTAAAAAAAAAAAAAAAAAAAATAGGAACTTGAGCTTTAAGATTATTTGACAAACAAATTCATTACAATTTATGCCAATCATTTCAGCAATCCTAATTCTCTTATGGGATTTTAAACAGTCATCTTTTTTGTGAACTAGGCACAAGATAAATTCCTTTAAATATAAATTTAAAGCATCATGCTACATGGTTGAACTGCTTTTTTACAAATAACATTTTAAAAAATACAGACTCTTTCATCATTTTGAATGTATGAGCACTAGTATAACCAATCAGTTTCATAATTTTGAAAATACTTCACTCCTTGTGTAATGTGAAAGGCACATCTGGAATTATAAACTTTTTTTTTTTAATTCCAAAATACAAGACAGAAACAAAACAATTAAAAAAAAAAGTAGCTAACTTACACCTTTCTTTACAGAAACTAAACTGGCTTACTGGGAATTATGGTCACATAAAATCAAAGTAGATCTTATACAGGGTTCATAGCCACATTTTAGTTAAAAAAATAAGCACCTATAAGCACTTTTCAAGCACATTTTAAGAAAAAAAATAAGCGCCTGTCTAATTACATTATACACAACTGCATAACCTTAAAACAAAAATTAGACTTGCAATTCAAAATATGAGCAATGCAATATTTATTAAAAGAATAAGCATTACCTCAACCATGGAAAATAATTAACTTTCTTTTAAATTTTAAATGACAGTTCAATTTACAGAATTTGTTTACAATGAGAGAAAAAAAAAAAAAAAAACTATGGAGAACTAAACTATATTACAAGATTTAATGATGAAATTTCAGTTCAAAATATAGAAAATAAATAATAATAAGCCATTTTAATTGTATTCGCTTGGCACCTAATAATAAATACAATTTATTTTTCCTCTTATATTGATATTTAAAGAATTTAACTTGAATCAAAATTCTGAACATTTTCTAAATTTTCATTGCATAACTGTTTTTCCTTAACATATATTCCAAGCAAAGTAATTTAAGTAAAAAAGAGGAACATTTCTGAAATCAGGAGATGGGAAATTGCTTCATGCAGTCATCCTTTAACAGTAAAAGCTTAACTAACCCGCATACTCGGAAATTGCCGAATATTCCGTATAGTCGAGCGTAAGTGGAAAAAGAGGAGGAGGGGAGATTGTAGCCGTTTTTTAGATTGCTCGGCTAAATAAATGATTTTGACATTCCGATATGTGCTTCATATAAAAATAGACCAACGGAACTGAGAAATATTCTGCTTAGAAAGAACAGTAAAACTCTTTTAAGTGTTCATAAATAAATCTCAGACTGAACATCAAAATTAATTATCTCTGCAAAATACCGCAAACGTTATTGCGCAATACGTGCGGTGTAATTCTTCCATACGTGATATTACGCAATCGGAATCAACAGCTGCCGGTATTCGAACAATAAAGAACTAAATAAAGGAAAAGAAAGAGACTTACTAATCTGGGGTGCTTTTGATTCTAATTTTGAACAGACCGTTAAATTTCCAGAATAGAATAATTTTTCGCTTGGGTTGGGTAGACTGCAAAACTTTCAGTCCTATTCAATCCAGATTGGACAGTGACAAAAAAAAAAAAAAAAAAGTCCGCTGCTTCAATATTACAGATTTTGCGGAGAAAGGGGAGAACCTCCTAACCTCCGTACTGTATAATGTATTGGCAAAAAAGAAAAGAAATTATTATGACTATTCGATTACTTTCCTTTTATTTAAGCCATTCCGAATATTATTCCTTACAAAGCTAATGTGTGTAAAAAAAAAAAAAAAAAAAAAAAAACATTTTTGGAAGTTTATCTACACTTCAGTAGCTACTGCAACTATATTATAAATATTCATACATATGCTCACAATATAAGCATAACGAGCATAATAAACACGAATATGAACTGACCACGCGGAACAAGAATGTAAATTATTAAAATCTTGATAGAAATTCAAACATGTGTAGTATTTGGGTGGGAGGAAAAGAATACCGAATGTATTGGAATTTCTACGGTTTTCGCAATTCTTTGACCACTAGAACGACGTGCACCTGTCTGTACTCTCGCGTGCACCATAGGTTACGTTAATGCGGAGAAAGGGGGAAAAGCTATTTCCGGGAGTATGATTTACCATCTGACATTCCATGTAAGGAAGAAAAGTTGTTTATTTAGTTTTCTGGCTTCGGTACGGGGGGAAATAGCGCGTTCATTAAAAAAAGCACTAAAAGCAAAAAATAAGCACTAAAAACAAAAAAATAAGGGCTTTAAAGAAAAAGTAAGCACCTATAAGGGCCTTTATATTTTATTTTCAAATATAAGGACTTATAAGCACTTGTAAGGACCACTACGAACCCTGTTACAAGAGTGTTGTGAGGTCATTCTCATCCATTATTTGAGCTAAATCACACTGTATGCTCAAAGTTTTTGTTTGTCAAAAATGGTGACAGGAAAATATTTATGTAACATATTTTTACACAACTGCAAATGAACAGTTTTACGTATTTCTTGAATGCTTCGTACATGCCAATTTGTAAATATAATACATATTATAAAAGAATTTATTACTAAACTGATAAACACAAAACTATATTACTTTTAAAAAGGTACCTAAACATTGAATTGAAATAAAAAATTATCTGGTTCCACAAATTTTTATTTTACAGAAAGAAGTTTAAAAAAATGTAAGTTTATGTTATAAATTTTATATACAGTCAAACATTGATAGCACATTGTTCCTGTGACCAAGTAAAATACAATGCATTAAGTGGAATATATTTCAAGTAACCAATTTCAATTTTTACTGAAAAATTTCAAATTTTTTAAGCTCAAAATATCTTTTAGGTAAAGAAAGAAATGTCCAGTTAATTATTTAATATTTTTACTCAAGTTTAAAAGAGTTATTGATTTGACTTTGGTCACCTAAATTACCTTTAGAAAATTGGAACATTAGCTAAAGTTATTTTAATTGTTGATAAGTTTTGAATTAGATAAAATTATTTGTGTAGAGATAAAGTAATAAAAGCTTAAAAAAATTAGCAGAAAAAATATATTCTTATAAAATTCCCAATCCAAACAAAAAGGAAGGAATCAAAATCTTTCTTTGCATGTTTACAATATAAAAGCTAATGTTGCGTTTTTTTCTTTTTCTGACACCAGTTGTTACGTCATTTTCTTCCTTCACGTTTGTACAGGGTTTGTGTGGATTTGGAGTGAATAATGACAACACTTGATGAAGTATCGAAACACACTTTATTTGCCAGTATTGTCAGGACAGCTTCAAAACACATTTTACAGTCGTTGATGAACTACTATAAACACGCTGACACGATCAGCAACACAGCCTTCAGGTTATCAGGCTATCATGGTGGAGACAGCTTCACTGCAAAGCACCAGAGTACAGCTCCCGACTCTGCATGGTCCCTCTCGGAACTTCACGTACTCTCGAGACTCTCCACGCTATAACTCGCGATGCACTTGACTACACACAAGCACAGCTCCCGACTCTTCGGTTTAGTCGTTCCCGGAGCTCAACACGCTCTCTCGACGATGCACTAAACACGATACACTAACAGACTCCTTCGGTGCACTCGACAACCCACTCGGCACTAGCTCCCGACTCTGCATGGTCACTCTCGGAACTTCACGTACTCTCGAGACTCTCCACGCTATAACTCGCGATGTACCTGACTACACACAAGCACAGCTCCCGACTCTTCGGTTTAGTCATTCCCGGAGCTCAACACGCTCTCTCGATGATGCACTAAACACGATACACTAACAGACTCCTTCGGTGCACTCGCTGCCCGGCTGTCAACTCGATCGACTCCGCAGAGATTGACTCGCTAGACGAGACACCAACTCGATACTAACTCGGCACTAGACTTCGAGACACTTGCTCAATGACTGACTATCAGCTCACTCTAGACGAGGCACACTGACTCGCCCTCTTGATGAAGCACACTCACTGACTGCGAACCAGCAGGGTTTATTTACCTTTCGGTTTGTGTTTGGGAACATTCTGGGCTAAACTGGTAAGAATTCATTCCAGAAGGTTCTCCAACCGTCTATGGTATATTGCCAATTTTGTTGCCAAATGGGCGATTTCTCGCCAAATGTGGCAACCCTAAAACTGCTTTGTGGGGAAGCCATCTTATTGCGCCTATACATTTCGTAACACTATTTCTAAAATGATCTGATTGGTAACATTTTAATTCAAACAGGATAAAACAGTACAGTTCAGAAACCTAACATCAAGGGCAAAAGAGGCTATGCTTTCAGAAAGAAAACTATGGTTTTTAAAATTCAGTACTATAGCTGTACGTGATATTTTGGGAAAGGAGATATTAAAGACATTTATGTTTTGGCATTATACTGTATCTTACAGAAATTTGCAGAACAAAGAGGTTTACCTGTAAAAGAATATAACAACACAATGGAGGTGATAAATGTGATTCTAAAATCCAGCATAAATATTTATTAGATTTAATAAATCCCTATATAGTATGCCATCACTTTCTAACTTCTGTCATTTTTCAAAGATAAATAAAAATTATATTATTATCAAGAATAAGACACTTTCAGTAATTCTTTCATCAAATGTTATATTTTTTAGGGTTCCAGAATTTAAGATTTATAGACAAGTAACTAATAGATACAAAATATTAAATCGATCACAGTTTTGTCTCTTTCAAGTATAATTTTGTATTCCACACAGAAATAGAGTCCGTTCATTAACACATGCTTACCTAAGAAGGTTGTTCCAGGTTGAGTTGCACTATGAACATCGGAAGCATAAACCTAAAAATACATACATATATATATATATATATATACATAAACATACATATATGAATAAAACTACACAACAATTCAAAATTATTAAATTAATTAAAGTCTTAATTTTTATTTAAATAGATAAAGCAAAATTCAAGGAGCAGCTAAACTTATGGGGAAAAAAATACTGTTTGATGTTTCATAAATGTTGACCTTGCTCTTAATACCAAACACTAAAATAGAGCTTTGAATGCCCATCTATTTAGCAAAACAACCTGATTTTTTTAAAATTAATGAGCAAAAATATCTATTTTGTCAGTATGCTCTTGTCAATTCAAAATAAAGTTTCAATACGAATAACTGTACAACACAAATAAATAGAGGACTATTTTGATCAGGTAGTTTTGTTAAGGATTACGCTTTACTTCTCAATTCAAATTTTCACTTTTAACATAAATATTTCCACTTTTAACAAAATATTTATGTTTAAGAAACAAATATTTTGGAGATGATAATACAAAGAAAAATAAGATAGGTCTTAAATATTGGAAAGATATACACACAGCCTATAAACTTTTCTAAATTTTCAAAAAATATTCAATATCTTAAATAATAATTTGCAGCAGTAATATTTTTATTGCTAACAATGTATAAAATTTAAATCATTGCTCTAAAAACAGTTTTGAATAAATTACACAGTTTCTAATAAAAACAGAATAGCTAAAAAGTTATAGACTTTAACATTGTCCAGTCAAAATTCTTTCTATCATGATGTAATTTTGTTATCCAAATAGAACATATTTATGATGAAATTTATCTACAAAATAGTTTATTTCCAGCATTTTAATTTAATGATATAAAATCAATCTGTCATAGAGTTCAACCTCCCAAACAATGTGAACATTTCCTGGTGACAAACATCCACATGATGTTAGATTTCATTCAGTGCTGCTTGATACATAATTGCTTAAATATAGCCACATCATTATTTATGAAGCTTTTTAAATTCAATGGCTACTCATTGATCGGCAAAATCTTATAATTTTTTTGTTTAATCATCTAGAAAAAATCTAATGGTATTAAATCTCTTATCAAAACTGGCCAAATGAATGATGCATGTTCCACACTTCTACTATTTTGACTATTCTACTAGATTATGTAAACAAACTAAGTTTTAAATAGGAGTAAGAGTCCAAATTTAAGAGAGAGGGGCATATCAGGCTATTGTACTGAATCTCTTCTGTTATTGCCTGCCTTTAGAGATGTTACTATGAGCTAGTGAGTTTAGTGCAGTCATATTGTTAGGCTTTAAATTTATACTTTGACTAGTAAAAACGTTGAGTCATTCTGTCTTTCCAGCTGCAAGCAGCGGAGTTTATGCTGTTGACTGTTTTAGTTCTGTTAACTTCCAGGTGAAGTTCAAATACATATTTTAGTTATTTTATATTTGTTGTAGTTACTCAAATCTGGTACTGAATTAATTCATTCTGCTAGTAAAAGGTAAAGACTGGATGAAAATTTATCTGATATAATCTAAGAAAGTTAGACTAGTGTTTATATTAAGCCAAACTGAGTTTTACTTTATAGAAAAGGTTCATATTCTTATTACACATAGAGAAAATAATGAACATGCAGCTAGACCTTTCTACATGAAATTATTAGTACCCAACAATTTTAGCTACAATTCAACCATTGGTAATAATTTTTCAGTTGGCTATTATTTACATTATGGTTTTATGCCTTTAAAAATACAATTTATATAAATTATAAGCTGCAGTTTTTCCTATGACACCAGTTTTCTTACCACTTTTCCACATGGTAATGTCACATCTTCTCTATTCTTCAGCTTTAACAAAGCTGGTCCCCTAAAATATAAAAGACGGTTAATGGCAGATTTAAAGTAAGCAAAAGAAATATTTCATTTATACTGAAGACAAAAGAAAAACCAATACTTTACTTACACAGGCACACCATATTTCACACATTCCTCAAGCAATAATTCTCCCTGCTTTTCAAATACCTAAAAATGAATAAAAAAACATTAAATATGGGGGAAAAAAAGCAGATCATCAGAAATCAGCTCTTATTTGTTATGCACATGTGCATATCCAGGTTGCCACATAAATACATTTTGGCGATGTCATGGGTTGCCTATTTTGGATACACAGTGCATTGCCTTGAGAATACTTTTCAAGGGGTACAGATAATCAGATACAGTACAAAGTCTTTAATCCGGACTCGTCGAGACTTCGGCGATTCTGGATTAGGGGTTTTTTCGGATTATAGATCATCAATTTAAATCTGGTAAGATGGCAGGAAATTATAAAATTAAAAATATGAAACCATAATTTATGAATAAAGAGATTATGATAAAAGGTATCAAAATTTTACAAAAAAAAAAAAAACTTAATATTTATTGTTTAAGATTGCTTCATTTTTGTGCTAATATTTCTCTTTAATTTTATAACATACATAATTTTCTGTTCGTTCCATTTCAAGTCCTGTAATTGCTGTGTCGAGATACGACTAACTTGTCAATCGAAATTTTTCGTTTTCAATAACTCTCTTACTTTCTTCACTATCGGAAGCAACAACAATCGAACATGCTTTCGATTGTAGTCCTTGTAACTCCAGAATCGAAAACTCTTTGACATAACTGAGTCAAGCTATTTTATAAAATTGCTCTACAGTCTGCAACTAAGAACATATCCATTAGAAGAAAGAAAATGCAATCGGACATTAACTGAATTAGATAATTTTGCTTACTTATACTGTCCGTTATACATTAAATGAGCATGCGTAAACGTATGCGCATGCGCAGAAAGTTTGTAGCTTTGAGGTCTGGATTAAAGACTTTTTACTGTATAACCAAATGTCAATTAAATTACATAAATGTAACATATTCATTGTTGGCTATACACAAATAGTTTTAACAGAAGAAAGTTATACATGGCACTGGACACATCTTTTATTAATTACAAAAATAATGCAAATATTTATAAAAATTATCAATAATCATTTAAAAAGATAACATTAAATTAAAGCAACTAGACTACAAAATATTGCTTTTTACTACATTCAAATTAAATAATAATATGAAAAAAAGGGATTGCAAAATGTATTTTTCTATTAAAAAAGATAAATTAAAAGATCATATGATGCATGGAATAGCAAAATCTTTCAGGACTGGAAAAGTGAAAAACATTACATTTTTGTGCAGTGGCATTACTTGCCAAGGCACAGGAATGATTTATTTGTGGTAGTAAAACATGACAGTACAGTCCAAACAATTTTGAAAAGTCTCCATTAAGGATGCTTCTAAATTTTAACAAACAACTTTTGGTATTTACTTATTATTCTACTGACCATGAAACTACTGCCAAGCAATGTGATTTAACACCAGTTATGGATAAGCATGATGTCACAACACACTTATAACATCTGAACTTTCTTTTGATGTAATCTTGATAGGCTATCTTTTGCTTTTATGAACAAGGACTGTTATTTCAGTATTTTTTACAGCTGGCTTAACTGTTATTTCAGTATTTTTTTCTTTTCTTTTCAATTAACTGTTATTTCAGTATTTTTTCTTCCATTTTGAAAATAACGAATTCAAGGGCTGTATAATCACATCTGTGATTCCAGTTTTTACAGCTGGCTGAGAAAACATCCTCTAAATAAAGAAAAGAACAGCTGAGCATGGTAGATAAAAAAGTAATAGATGGAACAATAATATGAGAGAAGTTTGCACTCAAAGCATTGCTAACAGGACCTTTGGTAAAATCAGAGGACCTAACAACATAGTAGAAATAAAAAAACAAAGTCTTTTTACAAAAGTGCAAAAAAGAAGTGGGTCGAATACCTCACAGCATTGGCTATTTGGTGAATTTTGCAAAGAGACTAATGAGTTTTATTATAACAGCTGCAGACAGAAATGTGTTTCAGAATTCTACAGAAAAGTTTAAGTGTAACTTTGCTGAGATCTGCAGCAAATTTCATGGCAGATGCAGACAACTTTCACATTTGATGGGATAATATGTAATTATCTTTTAAACATTATTGGTAGATCTAGCTTTTAAACATTATTGGACATATTGCTATGTGTCATCTAATTTGACATAAAATAATGCTGAATTTCATGGTTTTTGACAAATTTAGGAATAAAAATAAAAAGGAAAAGTGAAATAAAAAGCTCAAATTTCTAATTTAGAGACCCTAATAATGATTAGCCTCTTTAAATACATAATTATAAATTTGATACCAACAAAGATAAGATTTCTCAAGGAATCTTAAAAGCTGACATTTAAAATTAAAGACACATATGGAATTTTATGTAAGACATAACATACATGCATTGAAAATAACTTAAAAGCAATATTATTCATATAACACTTAAGTTATATGGTAATTGTTCATAATCTTAAGCATAAAATGCAGAACTCTAATTAATTATCTGCATTCTAGATATTCAGAAATCCAAGAAAATATTTGTTCATATAGGGAAACAAATGAAAATTAACTGTATATATATATCATCATGATAATGCCATACCACACGCTGATTTTGCAACTCATTAAGAAATAAGTGTCAAACATGAAGCGAAAATTTCTCCCACATCAACCATACTCCCCAGACCAAGCACTCTCCAATTATCACTTGTTTCTCTCCTTGCAAAATTATTTTAAGTGAAAATAATTTTAAACTGAAGCAGATGTCAGCCAACTACTTGAGTTCTTCGCTTTATTTTTCAAAAAAGTTATTTACAAATTATTATCACGCTGGGAAGAGGTCAGTAACGATGTAGGTACGCTGGGAAGAGGAAGTAACGATGGAGGAAATTACATTACATAATAAATATTATTAAGGGTATGAAAAATGTAGTATTTTCGTTCATTTCTCAAACAGACAGAACTTTCTGGTAGGCCTTATACCTGTTCTCGAAATTAAAAATTAATTTCCTTCAGTATCAGTGTATCATTACCTGAAAATGACACCAAATTTCAAAAATCTCTTTTTTTTTGCAAAATTCTTTGGTATAAGAGGAAAATCCTTTGTATTTTTGAATCATCTGTACTTACGAATGGAAACAAAATCTTAAACTGAGTGGGCAATATATACTTACATTGATGATATAAGAAAACGAGACAGCATTTTCATCTGTTAAAAGAAAGAATTGATACAATTAAGAAACCTAAAATAGTTTGGAAAAATGTTCAACTTTTAACTTAAAGAAAGACATTATTAAACAAATTTCCTTCTGTAAAATAATAGCTGGTGGTTTAACATTTCAAAAATCCATAAAAGATTCTGATTATATTTCATAAAGAAACTGTGTGCCAATAAGCTAGAATCATTAATTTCATGTAATTAAACAGTATTCCTAATTATGCCAAAGTATAAGAGATAGCATAACTTGACAGAATGTTTTCCACGGAGTACATTGTAAGAACATTTTTGCAATTAAGTAATATAAGGCAGAAATCAAAATTTCCCATATTTGCTAACATGCAAGATGTACCCTTTTTATTAAAGGTACTTAGAAACTCTCATTAACATAGCAGGAAGCTTACTGAAGCACAGATTGCTTGATGTAACAATGGTTACGCTCCACCCGATACTACTACAGCCACGCCACATCAGAAGTTAGTTTCCGAATTGCCCTTGCATCTTTTTTCAGATGCCTATTTTTAGCAACATATTTATGACAGGTATCTGAAACAGCTTTGTTTAAGTATTAAGAAGACATGCTTTACTTCATGAAAGCTTGATTCTATTCTTTACAGTATACTGAGATAAATGAATCAACATTTTGGAAAGATTTCCATGAACTATTCCTGCAATCACACATAAATGCAATGATTCCAAAAAAAGTTCACAGAAATTCTTTTAGTTTGTGGCCAAAGTACTGATTCAATTTATATTTTGACTATACTGCTAGAGAAAAGGAACATAGTAATAAGGATTTGCTCATCCTGGAGAGAATTTTCAGAAAAAAATACAGTTGTGGTAGTTAATACTATTTACAAAATAAATCCAAGTAACAGTTTCATAATATAAACATTTTCACCATTCAATCAGTTATTTCAAATATACTATCTACCAATAATTGGACCGTGCAAATGCTGATATCTGTCCTGATACAAGTCATGCCCTCCACCAAAATATCATTTAGGAAACAACATCGGCATTAGTGGCATGCAAGATGTCATGAGTTATACGATTTTGAGAAACATGTAATCGTCAGGTATTCCCAAATTGGCCAATCATTAATGGGCATATCTAGTGAGCTGAATTACCCAAATTTGACAATGGTCTACATGATTCAAAAGTGGAAGATGAGTAGTGAATATCAGAATGTGCTTCGAGTCGGTAGACCCATGTAAGTGGGAGATAGCTACCGATGGATGCTGTCTAAAGAAATTCGCAAGTAGCGCACCCAACCATGGCCCACATACTCCTGGAGTTTCAACAGACAACCAGGAGTGTTGCCTATTTTAAAATCAGACTAAATTCCTTTTATGTATTCTAGGCAAAATAATTATTTTTATTACTACAAAAAAGCTTTGCATATTTTAACTAAATAAGATATAGATCTTTTTTCTAGAAGCAAAAATATTTCAAAATGTATTTTTTCTAGAAAAAAGTCTCTCTCTCTCTTTTTTTTTTCTTCTACAAGAGAAATGCACATGACATTCTACAAATAAGCACAAGGTTTTCCCATAAAACCAATGCCAATCTAAGATTGAAATTTCCCATATTACTTAAATATATGTTGAATTAAGTATTTTTTATCATCAAGCATAACTTAAATTTTATTTCAGACACATGATTACATTTTCTAAAATGTAACAATAAAAATTAACAATGGAAAGTAGTCAAGATATAATAAGTATTGGAAAAATGGTTTCAATTTGACCAATGAATATATGGATGAAAGATGTGAGTCTTTACTCTCTCAATTAAGAATTAACGGATATAAAACTAGATAGCATAACAAATAATTTCAACCAAAAAGTCTAACAAATACTAATTTACTAAACTGGATATTCCAACTTAAATTAATACTGTTGCAGGTGATAAAATTGTGTGGAAAATACCATGCATATGTTGGAAATTTTCTCCAGTTGCACTTTTTAAAGGGAAAAGTAAATAAATAAAGGGAAATACTAAAACAAAATACTGGTACTTAACATATTATCCCACCTATTTCAGTAGAAGTAACCGAATTTCCAGAAAGTGTCAAACTCTGACAACCATGCTGAAAACAATTGTTTCAGTCAAACAAAGCCGACATTTTTGTATGCATTCCATTTTGTTGTATTCTAAGTTCTAATGCTTTTGTACACAAATTGTGATATTCCCCCCCTTAAGTTTTAAAAAATGAACTTGGGGAATTTACCAGCAATGGAAGAAACTGCAGTAATACAGAATTTTGCTGAACATTTTCTGCAGGGAACAATGAAGCAATGCATTTTCCGGACAGATGCTGTTGCCAAAGATTGCATGAGGCCGAGCCTCCACAATTCTCTGATGTTTTTTCAAGTAAAAATAGAACGCTGTGTACTTCGGAAGAAGAATAACAACAACAACAAATTACAGAAAGATTAGAAGATTTTTTAATGAATAACATAATCCTTATTTAATAATTCAAATTTGTATTTTAAATTGCTAAAGTATGTTTTCTTTTCCTATGATGGATGTTGTTTACCAAACTTACTATAAATACCGATAGTTTGGGAATCTTTCTAAAAAAAAAAAAAAAAAAATATCGCAAAAACCACCAACTTGCACATGCTAAGTAACTTTTACATTTTCTTCTGTAAAAAATGGTTGTGATAGTTCATAAGTACCAAAATACTTGTAGCTGATACCTGTTTTTGCTTATTATTTTAAAATTAAGGAAATAAAAAATAATAAATTAACTGTTATTTCAAATATTTTCCAGATGTATAAAAGTAGGTTATACATTAAAAAATGGGCATTTTAGTATTGATATTTTATTCAAAAATTTTCCCCTTAAACTCCATAGCACATTTTCATGCTTATATGCAATTTTGACCTCAATCTTTTATTTATTTTTTTTTAGTACAGTAATTTGCTGTATTGCATACTGTATTCCAACAACATTTATGTACATTTAGAAACTGATAAAGTAAAAATAAACAATAAACTGAGGAAACTCCTTAACCCTTTGACTACAAATTTAAAAAAAATCATCCCGTTTTCTATTCAAATGAACAAAATATGTCATAAATAAGGTAAATTTAGCATTTGGGATTTTTTTGACAAAATGGTTTTCATGCCAAAGGTTGGGATTTATATGTCCCACCATATACATATGTCCCACACATAGTGATCAACTTACTATAAGCACACCTATTATTCTGGAAAATTTTATTATACAAGATAGACTTTACCTCATATGGTACAGGGTAAAGCATTCTTTGCATAACCCAGCATTACACAATGGGCAACTTATATTTGTCCTTTTCTCTACGCTCACTTGTGTACAACGAGCACAGCAGGGGGTCTTGATTTTCCAACTATCTGAAGATGATTCTCAACATAGGAGATTATAAATACTTTTTAACCCAGTAATAATTCTTAAACTTTTAGTGGGACATATATGCCCCATTAGTAGTCAAAGGGATCACTAAATAATGAAAAATTAGCAGGTACTGTAAATGCATCAAATACTAAAACAGATTGAAACACTGCATGCAATTGTGTAAGCAAAAAAGTTACCTTCTTGATGTCTGCTTTTTGAATCAATTGGACTTTTTATTTTCTTAACAGGAACATAATCAATTTTTACAGAATGATCTATGTAATAATTATCTGTTAGAGGCTTCTTTACTGTAAAAAAACATTTGAATTAGTTTTAATTTTATGTACGGCAAATTACTAAAAACCAACATTAAAAAAAGAAAAATATTACCTAGTTGTAAAGATGTAATAGAAGCTGTAAGCAGATTTGAAAAATATTCCTGAAATAAAAGCACAAAAAGTTAACAAATCATTGCTGCACATGTAAACATAATCTAAAATACAAATGAAATTACAAATAATTTATTTTCTAAAATGTATAACTTTCAAAAGAAGTAAAAAAAAATTCATTTTCTTTCATTCACCAGAAAGGTATTACTTTAGATCTTCTGTAAAAATAGATAAATTGCTACACAATTAAGTTATAAAATGATAAATTCATGCTAGATAAAAAAAAAAAAAAAAAAAAAAAAATCAAATGTATCAAATTCACTTCTGCGACATCCACATTTCGGGGAATATTGATACTTTTTCTTTTTCAGTATATTCTTAAAAATATTTCAATTAAAAAAACTGTCCCCGTCTTCCTGGCCTTGGTGAGAAAGTGAATTTGGCACATTTCTGCATTTGCAAGAAATAAATGATTAACAATTTAGATTGTGGTTTTTCATAATGACACTGTGTCAGTATAATGGTTATTCACTGTAAAATACTCATTATGTGCATGTGCGAGAATTAAATTATTAATGATATAACTGGTTTTTTATAATTGCATATTGTGTCAATATACTGCACAAGCTTTTCATTGCAAAATGCTCATTTTGCTTCATATTATTTTAAATAAATCATTCATATAATTAATTATATTAAATGCAAAAATTAATACTATATATATTAAATGCATTTTGTTTGCTATTATTTAATATAAATTGTGAACAAAATTGTATAAATTACTTCTCTTCCTACATAAATATATCTGAAATAGCTTGTGCAGTATAGATACTGAATGAATTGCCTGTTTATCATTTACTACAGTTAGTTTTGTTTTTGTGAATATTTATATTTGGCAACTAATTGCACTTTCTTGAGCTCGAACGACAAGTACCCTCCAACAAAAAAAAAAAAAAAAACATTCAAAATACTGATCAAAAACAAAAAATTGTCAAGTAAAATACTATCACTGCAAAATTGCAACAACCTTTTTACAAACTTAATAGAATAAAATATTTTAATCAGGTCTCAGCAACCTACTACCACGGGTTATTGAGTCACCCACTTCAGAATTTCAAGTGACCCACTTTTGTTCCAGAAATAAAGTATAATAAATAAAAATAAATTACGATACATAAATGTGAAACAAGCACTTGTAAAATACATAAAGAAATAAAGCAAAAATAAATAATAATAATGACATTTTGGTTTGATTACAAATTTTGACTAAAGAATAAACATTTTTATTTTTTAAAATTAAAAAATGCAATATAACTTCAGGGACAAATCGATAAAATTGGCAACACCAATCCAAAATTCATAATTTTAAAGAACTGGTTTTGTCATTTTGTCTGTGTTTAGTTCAACTTACAAATGTGAGCAAGTATTTTTGCACATGAAATTTATTTTAAGTAAGAACAACAGAAGCTCAACTACTGAAAATTCAGATGCTTGTATTCATCTTAAGAGAACTAACTATAAGCCTAACTTGATAAAGTGACATCATAAGTTCTGCATCAGAGAAGCCATTGATGTTGAAGAGAATAAATAGTAAAGTTCATTCAGTTAATGATTGTTTTTATTATAATTATAATTACAATTTTAATTTTTATGTTTGAGGTTTAGAGTGTATTGTAACTATTTTTTTCAAAAAAATTTATCTCGCTAAAAAAGACTGTTTTAAAATGAGAATACCATTGACCCAAAATGTTATCTTAACCGTTTGACTGCTAAACGGTGCAAAAGCGCTGCGTTCATTTGTCTCGAAAACTGTGATGCAGCACTTCAGTGTGTCTTTGTTGCTCCGTGGGTGTGAACATAGTCAGTCTGACCTCACACATACTTTGTCACATGAGTGCATTCTAAAATAAGTAACTGCGTCGCGGTTTTCGAGACAAATGAACGTAGCGCTTTTGCGCTGCGTAGCAGTCAAACGGTTAATACACACATTTAAAATGATTTTGATCTACGGTCAAAAAAGGCTGCAAGCGCCAGACTTAGATTAACATAGAAAATCACCTAGGAAAGGCTTACTGTGAATTATATTGTTAAGAGCTATGAATACATAGATATCTCTAAACAATCACTCCAGATAAACAGGAAGACACTGACAATTTATTGACAAAGATTACAGTGCATTGAAAAAATTAACAGCTTAAATAATTCAAAGGGTATTAGGTAAAAGATCCTTATCACACAAGAAATACTGTAAACTCCCAACACCACTCACAGAGCAAACTTTAAAGTACAATGTAACTGAATTCTCTTTGCACTACAGTCTCTCAGATTTGAGTTAACAGCTGACTCTTCCTGGTTCTCAGAGCCATATTTATATGGTGTTGCACATGTTTCTGGATGTTTTCAGGAAAATCAGCATTCAAAAATGCATTTTCCTAAAACTTTAGAAAATCGCCAAGCAGGAAAGAAATCATCACTAACCATTGCCACGGCTCATCAGGAGTGTTTTAGTCGATATCTTACACTTTAGTTGAATAAAATAATTTAAAGGTAATTGTATTCAGAGCTAAAATATCTACAATATTATATAAAACATATGGATACAAACTCAATCATACACACACACACAACTATTTTATATTTAATAATACAATAACTTGTAAACAATAAAATTTTTAGTACACATAGTGATTAAGAGGGATGATAATGGATCACATTCATATTTCTACCGCCTAAGGTAGAAAAATGGAATTCAAACTTCATAACCAAACAAAGTTACCTTGATTAATTTCCTGTGTACTAAAAAAAAAAAAAAAAAAAAAAAAAAAAGACTTCTCTTAACAAATCCTCTACAAAGGCCCGTCTTTCCAAAGATATACAGTCTTTGTTTATTTTCCCTTAATTAACTTATTCAGATTCACATATCTGTCAGCAAGCATCATAAACACACATATTTCTTAATAAAGTTATGTGTATTTAATTCTATGAGAAGATTAGTTTCGGTAATCAAAATCAAAAAGTTTTGATTACTAAATTAGTTTTGGTAAATACCTTCCATTTTAAACTATGTTTCTTTTACTTATTAATTGAAAATTCAAATTGATATATAAAATATTTAACAAAGGATTAGTCAATAATGTATGTTGCTATTACAAGCTGTAGTACATGCAGAAATTAAGCAAGATGATTCCAGATGGAGCATACTAATAATTTTCTTATATGCAATTATCCCTTTCCATTAATTTAAAAACTTACCAGCCAAAATGGTGAACCATTTTAGATAGCAAGTTTTGGATGAGGAGAAATCCTTTATCCAAAATGTGACTGCCATTTACTGCAATTTTCAATTTGCAGTTTTCCTAGGCTGTTTAATTGAAAATATGAGGGCAGTTATTTTCCTAAACATGTAACTGTAATTACCTACTGCAATTATAGTCACAATCACATTGTAATTGTAATTAGATTATACAATTACTTTGTAATTATTATTACAATATGATTGTAGTTACACTGTTATTAGATTTCAAAATTAATATGTAATTGTAATTTGACTGTGTAATTACTTTGTAATCAGAATTATAATCTCACGTTTATGTGACCAACATTGCTACAGGAAGTTAAAATATTTCCTTAAATTCTTCTATTAAATGACTAGTAGCTTGAATTTGATAGCAGTTAGTTTTGCGCATTCAGTTTAATCTTTTAGTTAGGTTGGAATGTGCATTTGATTAATGGAACTTTGCATGATACTTGTTATAGGAGAATATGAACAATTTCCTCTCCTTTCGTAAGACTGCAGCCTGTCACATATACTGGCAGTTTTGAACAGTGCACTTCTTCCGCTAAGCTGCAGTTGAAAAGTTCTTTCAAATGTGTATTATCCTTAGGAAAATTTGAAATTTCTATGTAGCACTTCTTCCAATTTTTAACTGTACCACTATTGATGAAATCTGTTTACAGAGTAGTAATATTATTATCAGCAGTTATCTTGTAACAACTAACTTGTTCCATTTCCATTCATTCTAAACACTGGGATTTTTTCATTAGAGGAGCAGAGTTCATTATTTTTTATTCTAAGCAAAATCCATATTTCTTTAAAAAATCCAAAGATGCATGAAATCTGCTATATAAGACAAATACCATGTGTACTCACAAATCAAAATACAAACTTATGTGCCCACTCATTTTTCCATGCACTAATATTTTCCCTCCATTCACAGTCTGTAGAGTAAAAAATGAAGCAGCAGTAAAAAATGAAGCATATACAGCAGGTTTCTATGTACGTTTTATTCCAGTATACTCCATTTGCCAGACTACATCTGCTGTTTATTTCTACTTCAACTTAGAATCCATGCTTTCTTTCATGAAGATTTGATGATACTAGCTGTAGAAAGTTTTCTGCTTTCATAAAATGTTTACTCCTTAGTCTTTTATGTGCAAGGTCACTGTCTTCATACAAGTCCTCCCTGCAACAGCTCAAGCATCTTAATTTAGTTTGTGGTTGTTTGATTCTTTACTTTGTCTACTTTCTCCAGTCTTTTCCTCACTTCTATCACCACTCTAAGCAAGCAGTCAGTTATCTGCACTGTTGACACCCCTTACATCACAAAAGTCTCTTCTGCTGACTTCTCGTGCAACCTTCACTTTCATGGCATACACACACAATTTTCAGATCTTTTTTGTCCATTAGTTAGAGTGCATGTTGTATATCATGGTGCTTAATAATGTTGACTAAATACTTGAGAAGTAATGTGTCTTTCATTTCCTAACTACTATCCAAAAATGCCAGCTGAGTTAATTTTTCAACATCAGCCACTAGTTCTTGAAGGGTCTCTTCTAATTTAGATTTTCAGGTCTTAAGCTGCAGTTGATGGTAATCCTTGAGAAAGTTTTACCCCAATGGGAAAATTATGTGGTAATTCTAAAGCCTTAACTAAAGTATTAATATTTGAATGTTTTTCATCAGCAGGATGTCTGCAGCTCATCTCATAAAGAAGCAGCCACATTTAAGGCTTTGATGATGGAGTTTCACTAACTTGCTTATGAAATCATTTCAAACTGGTTTGCGATGGTGAGAGTTTGATTTCTGAATGAGATGACTGAACCAGAATGTTACAGCAGGATGAGCTAGTGCATAGATCATACAACTCTGAGACGAGGTTGTTGTTTACAGATGAAGCTGGTTCATGAATTTCTTTTCTAATCTTTAAATTTCTCTCCAGAGTCTGTCATTAATAGAAGATATATTTTCATTGAAATGGGCGATTTCTTAATTTACAGTCTTTAGCTTTTTCTAAAGCTTTTCTTTTATGGTGGCTGCTTTCTCGTTCACAGCAGTCACAATTTCTCCTTTAACAGAAGCAATGCTTTCTTTCATTTCAGTGGTATTTATTGCTATTATGTTCTCCATGTCAGAAAGGGCCAATGATGAACTGTCTTTCATTTCAACAGCATTCCTTGCTACTTCTTTCCTATTTAGCACCAATTATTTCCATAATTTTTATCTGCTCTTTAGTCTGCTACCCTGATTGATGTATATATACTGGTTAGCGATGCTAGCTGTGGTAGTGTTGGGTCTGGGTTCAAATCCCGGAGAAGGAATGAATGCTGGTAAATATATAGCATCTGTGCAACATTGGAGCACTTACAATACTTTTAAACTGGATGTCTTCTCCAGTAGTTTGGTGGTAGATCCACAGATTGGATTGAAAATGCCAGTTGTTACAACAGCTTTATATCTTTTAAGTTCAATCTATCTATCAATGCCCACCATTACATCTTGTTTCCACGCATCCCCTGAGACCATTTTACCTATCCCTAGGTGAATTCCTACCCCAGGTTGAGTACGCTACTCTAGATGAGCTGGAAGAAACCGACAATTTATTACAAACAAATATGGTGCATAGTAAAAGTTAATAGTTGTAAACAGCTCAAGAAAAACCTGGTTATTATGTAAATTCCCATCAGTACATGAAAAAAATCATTCACAAAGTAAATTCTAAAGCACAGTTTGGCTAATTGTCTTAGCATACAATATCTAGACTTGAGTAACCATTGACTCTTCTTGACTCTTGGAACAATTTTATATGGTGCTGCACTGACTTCTGGAAGTTCTGAAAAATTGGGCCTAGGACTTTGAATGAAAATGTGTTCTCTCAAAAGTTCTAGGCATCCAAGTCAGCAAAAAACTGCCAAAATTTATTAGCCCATGTGAAGCATTTTTTCCCATATTTCTCTTTCTTGTTGAACTGTTTTAACAATTTAAACATCACTGGATTCATATTTTAAATAACTACAATAAAAGCAATAACATTTATATACAAATCATGTGGCCAAAATTCCAATTGCACATAAAATATATACTAAATCAACTAATCTAAATGCAAAAATATAACAAATGAATACATAAAACAAAATACCAATGAATTACAAAAACAAGCGTGCAGAGAAATGAATTTAAATATTTACAGAAATTTACAGTAATATCTAATAAAAAAATCAAACAAAAAGATTTTATTCTAATCACAATTTTTTTCCATCAAAAAATAATAATGTATTATATATTTGTGGGGAAAAAATACCTACAATGCCTGGTGGTCCATGCATATACATGTTCTGAATTCCAAATGTCTCATTTGTGACAATTATATCTAAAGATGAAATAAAGAAAAATTACACATATACTTTAAATTGTCAAAATGTAGCAATTCATTCAGTAAAAGAAAGATGAATGCAGATCTACCAAAGCCTCACAGAAAATCTCTACTTATTGATATGACCTTTAGAAATATTTAATTTCCGATCAGGAATGATAAATTTATGATTAATACTGATAATATTAGAAAGTCACAAAAAAATCTACTGCAGAAATTGATTGCATTAATATAAATAATAATCCATTCAGTTACTGTTGTCATCATGCTGAAGTTCTTGTAGGACAGTGAGAAGTTCAAATGCTTAATAATGCTGTGCCCACATAGCCAACAAAATACAGTGGTTTTTAATATGAAATAGGAGTCTGCTATTTCAGAGAACTCCTAACCTCTCAATGTAATCACTTGCAATGTTTTTACCTTAGAAAGAATTCAAGGATGGAAATCTTACCAGATTTCCAAATACCAGATTTCCAAATACCAAATTCCAGATTCAAATACCAGATTTCCAAAAATGGAAATCTGGTATAATTGAGCACATTTAGGAAAAAAATGAGAATTGTGTCAAATACGATCTGGCCAAAGACCTTCAGAAAACATTCTGTGATGGTAGAATCATTAAGACTTCATTACCTGCCCCCAACAGGAGAAATTCTCAGTTTAGCATGCCATTTTTTTACAAGGAAATATTGTGGCAGTAAATTATATATCTTGCATTTCTTCACATACATTTTATATGTTACATTATAATACTAATATAAAAAATTCTTTCATTAATCAATTTGCAATCTTTTAGCGAACAAGAGTAAATTGTGTCAATTAAGAATTACACAGAAGAGAAGAACATGCCCTAATAATTTTTTAATCAGTTGTACAGGATGAAGGAATATTATAATGGAGATACAAGATTCTTCTTCTCCTTCAATGGCCAAACAGCCCAGGATGGGCCCTTGCCTTCCTCAGAATCGAATCCCAAGCTCTTCTATCCCTGGCCATGGACATCCAATTGATTATTTTTAAAATTCTTAAGTCTGTTTCCAAACAGTCAAGCCATCTAAGTTTAGGTCTCCCTCTTTTTCGGGTGCCGAATGGTCTGGCCGAGAAGATCTTTATAGTTACTAGATTTTCATCCATTCTGCCCAGGTGTCCTGCCCATTTAATTCTCTGAATCCTTATATATTTTACTACGTCTATTTCCTTAAAAGATTTATAGAATTCAGAGTTAGTTCTTCTCCAGATATTGTTACATTTTATGCTACCAAAAATACTTATCAAAATTTCTCAAAAAAGACAGAAATGATACTTTTAGCTTTTTCTGTCATTGCCAAGTCTTAGCAGAGTATGTAAGAATGGGTCTGATTAAGCTTTTGTAAATTAAAATCTTCGTTTTTCTGCTAGTGAAGTTAGACTTCAAGTATCTTTTTAGACTAAAAAAACATCGGTTAGCATCTGCGACTCTACTACGGATCTCAGGCATGATACAAGATTATATACACAATTTAATAACTGTCTTACTAGAATGTTCTTCAATTATTATTCATACAAACATATAACAATAGCCACCTTGTTAGTGCATAGTACTAGAGGAGCTGGCTACCATAGTCTAAGGCCCATGTTTGAATCATGGGTAAAGTATGGATGTTTGTTAAGTATAGTCTTTGAAGTGAAGGAGTACTTAAATATTGTCGAGCTGCAAAGTCCTTCAGAGCGATTGGTGGAAAGGGAAGAGAGGTGGGAGACCTTTGAAGCTGTCCCCTGGGAAATTTTCCTTCAAAACTGTGGCACAAGTGGGTTATCCAGCAGAGAATGCTAAGTGGTAAACACTGCTGTCTTTGAGGTAAAAGAGAGGTATCGAAGAGCGAGTAGGCAGCAAGAATGTGCATGACATGTTTGGATGCCTAAACATTTTTTCAACAAACACTTCAACATTCAGCTGCTTATTTAAAAATTACAGAAATATATCTTTGCAAGCATCAGACCAGACTGAGTGAGTTAATCATTATACATGTAGTCCAAACTGTATGGTGTGTTAAGTTTATGATTTACTGCAAGGAAAGGTATAAAATATAAATAATAAGTTATAAATTACAATTCTTATGCTCTTAACCACTGGCATGCCAAAATAACTTAGATGCATGTGTTATGATTTGCAGATTGGCTTATAATATTCCACATTTAAAGAACTATATCATGCTTTACATACATAAAGAAAATATAATGCTTTAGTTTTAGAGTCTAGATTTGATTTTATTAAATTTTTTTTGGGGGGAAGATGAAATGGATATAGATTGTGCATTTAGGAAAATAAAAAAAAAAAAATAATAATTCCACAATTTAGTTTTGTTGACAAAAGTATGTTTTATATTTTACTTTTCAAGGGGAAAATATACAGTGGGTACCGGTTAATATGATCACGTTTGTTCTGACTTTATTTGATGATACAAAGCGGTTGAATTTTATATGTGGTATTGTGCCGCATGCAGGATTTCATTTCAGTTAGGGATACAAGGTTGCATATTTTTTTTTGGGGGGGGGGATATAAAAATAAAATTTTTAAAAATAGATTTCTAAGATTTAAATAGATTTTTATGAATGAAATGTGCATATACCTGATCCTCACTCTACTTGCATACAGCTCTACTGTTGAGATTAATACTCTTTTTTGAATAATGTTAATATGTAAATATTTTATATGTAATATACACTTTTTTAATATAAAATTTTCATTTATTTTTTTCATGGATGACAAAAGCCATCTTAATTCAGAAAAATAATTATTTCAACGTGTTACAAAGATCAATACAATATGTAAGCATATTAAACATTATTTAAATATTTATCCATTTGAATTTTTTGTTTTTGAGTTTCTTGTTACTAACTTTTCAACAGTCATTTCCAAGATACGACATTGCTCATAACTTTCTGTATCTCCACCTTTAAGTTTGAGAATTCTTTCCAAAATTTTTAATGCTTCTCAAGACTCTGCTGCTGCTGGTACCAGCATCGGGATTTTCAACTTCGGATTCACTTTCATTTTCACTAATTTCTTTGTTTTCTCTGTTGACTTTGATGATCTATACATCACTCTTTTCGTAGCAAGTCTGAATATCTTCATCAGTTCCCAAATATTTGAAGAAGGTCGTATCATGCATTTCTTTGTTGTCACCCTTGTCTTCTGTCCCATCTTGAGAGTTTCCAGAAAGTTGCTTTGGATGGAAGCAATCTTTTCTTATCTTAACAATCACTCAATCTTTTCTTAACTTACCCTTTACTTTTTCTCAGTTTTCTGCTAAATTTTTTTTATGTTATGTCGCCCAAAGCCCAGAGACAAGGAGAGGAAAAAATCTGAACCATGTTTTGCAATCTAGCCAGAAAAAGGAATTCTTAGAAGACAAAAGTTATATTTGGTGGTACTCTGATCCAAGAACCACACTATATGTATTACTCCTGGCAAGCTCTCCTTAGGAAGGATATAGCCAGTGATAGGATCTGCCTGTTATCCTAGGTATACTCTTAATAATTAAATTAATTTTTTTAGGTGAGTCAGCTACGGCTATGAACTAGCCAATTGCTTCTCCCGTCATGCTTCTCTAGCTATAATTTTAGCACAAAGTGCTACCACACATATAAACATTAAATTCTTATTTTTATTATTATTGTAGGATAATTTTAAATCATTATTCACTAAATTTCTAAGTAACTTGAACATACAAGTTACTAGTCTTAATGAGAATTTTTGCTTATTAGCCCAAAGGGCATTAGCCCAGCAGGGTTAATAATTCCATTTTGGCATTTTGTGTCGAATCACTATAAATGGCATATCACTTTTTAAATTGTTGCCACCAAATGTTAGAGCCCTGCATTATATTTGAATAAATGAAATAATGAAGAATCTGTTAGTAGTTACGCTGATTTATTTGTGGGAATCTGCAAATTTTTATCAAAGTTATTTTGCTGTTGTACTATTTTGCCACTTTTCTAAGTTTATTAATTTCTAAAGTCAATTTTACATTGCTTTACAAAAGGAAAATGTGGATTGTTTTATAATGTGTAAATAATTAATTTTAATTTCATGGATGTGTGAGAAAAAAATTTTTTTTTCCTATAGAGTAAACAGTTTTTATAAGACTTTCAAGAGAAGGACCATGCAAATTACATTATTAAATAAAAGCAAGGTTTCCAAGAGGAGTGAACTTTAGCATTTATTTCTTGATAAAATTAGGACAGGCCTTTATAGCATTTCTATAGAAAAATAAACTTGCAAATCTTAAAAACTGTACTGAAAACTTCAATAGAACTTTAAAATTTATATTTATTGGACAAAAATATTATGTACAAAATTTAGATCAGCATTGCATTGTATGATATTTTATCAAAATTATGTTTCCCTTGTTTTACTAACACTTTAATGCTTCTAAGACTTTTCTATCCCCAAATCTTTTTCTCTTTGAAGTAGGAGGGATATGTAAGATATAAAATATGAAAGAAAACGATTAAATTGGCAATAGCTCATTTTTATTCCCCATTTTGCTTTTCTCTTCTAAAAGTAGAAATTGTTTTTTATATTATTTATAATAATTTTATTTGACTGCATCTTTGAAAATTAATCTGTTTAATGTTTTCTTATGTAATTATGCTGCAATATAGATGGGTCTCATCCAATCAGATTAAAGAAACTTTTTACTATAAATATTGCTGCTACTATTGTGCAGCCTTTTTTCTACTCTGCTCACTGCTGGTTAAATGTGTCATTTAGCATGTGCTAACTATTGTACATTGTTCTGAAAATGTAAGCTGCACAGAATTGCGAGGTGCACAATGCACTCATAATTTTGAGGTCTTGTAAGAAGGGCTAAAGTGCAGAATCGCCCACTTATTTGATTGGCGCTTTTTACAAGAGTAAGAAGAATTGGGGTTTTGTCAATTTTCTTTGACTTTTTAAGTGAAAATACTGTACATGGATAAAGTCAAGTGGGTGTGCAATGCCATTTTTGTGCAATTCTGGCATTTTTTTTAAAGTGAAAACAGGTCGATGTGTACATGGATACCGAGTATGTGCAATTCGTAAAAACGCGCCAAGCAGTGGACGATTCTGCACTTTCCCCGTAAGAAGTAGTTATCAAGAAATAAATTGTCTTCCCATCTTCTAGGTTTACTTTGCTATGCAATCTCAAGAAACTACGCTATAAAGCCTCTTCAAGTTATTACAACACAAAGAACCATCACCAATCCACTGCAGCTTTCCAAAATCATCCCATTACATATACAATATTTAACATAGAGTACTATTTAAAAAATCAAAACAGAAATTAAATCTTACCAGATAAACCACTTAGGTTTTCCCATCTTTTTTCTGTTATAAAAATATGTTTGATTTGAGATATATTTATGCTAAAAAAAATAAAACAGATATATAATAACAGAGATATATCAATTTAACCCCTTAACTGCCGCGGGCGTATATATACGCCTTGCTCAGCCGATGCGTTAACTGCCCCAGATGTGCCCAGATGCGCAGCCGATGCGTTAACTTTGCGAATAATTTTAGGTGTAGCAGCGCAAAGCAAATGATAGCAGTTTGGAAGGACGTATATATACGCCTGGGGCAGTTAACGCATCGGCTGAGCAAGGCGTATATATACGCCCGCGGCAGTTAAGGGGTTAAAAGCAAATATCAAAATAACTATATAAATATTAGATAGCTTAAAATTATTACTTATGAATTTGACTTAAACTGAATATCACAATTAATGGATATCTGATGTTTATCATATATGCAATATGCATTTTTCACAAATTAAAATAAATAACATCTTCAGCTTAAAACAATCGTTTATAACTATTTTAAATTTGAACAAATTTAATAAAAGATTTTTCATTAGCAAAGAATCCACATGCAAAGTGTAATGCTTAACTGCACTCATGTCCATAAATTAAGGATAATTTGGAGTCACGCGAAATCAAACTCTAAAATAAATATATCACCTGTAAAATCCCTACACACATCTTCAAGAATCATATGCAAATTTCAGGAGGTAGTAACTAGATGACACTGATGGTACGTCACAATGACGAGAGTGTAAGAGAGTGATATATAAGGAATACAGGCAAAGAAGTAAAATTGTTCGCAGGCACTTTATAAGCATTTCAGTGCAATAACCGAATAGTTATGACACAAAGGAAGCAATTTGAATGATTTTTTACGTGGTAGAATTATCGGCCGTCTGGAATGTGGGCGTACCTCAACTGGAAGTATCAGACAAACTTGGAATTGCCCAGAGTATCATCTCCAGGTTTGGGAACATTCCAAGATGATGGTAATGTGAGTAGACGTTACAGCACAGGTTCGCCCCAGAGTTTACAATGCCGAATGAGGACCGGTATTTGGCAGTTACTGCCAAAAAAAACAGGCGGAGCACAGCCTCAGACCTGTCTCGTCAGCTCTCTTAAGCCACTGGTTACGACAATTTCAAGGCAGACCGTGTACAGACGCTTAGGGACAGATTGGTCTATATGCTCGTAGACCTGCCAGATGCGTTCCACTTACTGCAACTCACTGTCGCCTGCGGTTAGCCTGGACTAGAGAGCATGCATTGTGGACACCACAACAGTGGGCTTGTGTGATGTTTTCTTAAACCACACTGACACGTCCCCAAGATTCCATATCGTGTCAGTGTGGTTTAAGATATATTGGCTAAACAAAAAGAGCGTTGAAGTTTCGTATCAAGGAATATGAATCTTATGTCAGAAAAGGCGAAATTAACAAGTCTTCAATTGCGTATCATAGTTGGACTTTTAACCATAATTTTGATTTTGGGTCTGCAAAAATTATCCAAAAGGCTTCTTCCATAGGTGAATTGGATTTTCTTGAGGCTTTTCACATTCACAAAGATTTAGCAGGTTTAGTTCATAATTTGAAGTCCAATCCTAATGCCTTTAAAATTCTACTATCTTAACTCACTTATTTTTGCCGATAGATGGCGTTACCTCCTCGCATTTGGTACTACCAGAGGGTATCAAATTCCATTCAGTGGTTGCTTTCCATTATTTGAAGTTCAGATTTTGAGCGTAAGGTGCATTTGCCCCTCGCTCCCTATTTTAACTTCACTAATTTTTTCTTGTCCTTTATGCTTGATCAGATAGCCTGGCTCAGTAAAAGTAGGCGGCCAGTGAAACTTTGATTAAAAATCTAGTTATAACCACGTGCAGTTGCTGATAAGGACCACGGTTTCTGGACTCCTTATTTTCTTCTTTCTAAGTATTTCTTTCTCCTGATGAGGAGGGACCTTTAGCTGCCCTCGAAATCGATTGAGTGTTTCATTATACCTACGCTAAATACAAGGTTGTTTTTACGATTTTGATCTGTAATATTGGTTTTTTGTAAATAGGTTTTTTTTTTTTTGTAATTTGCTCCAGGGAGAAAAAAATCGCTAATTTTTTTAATAATATCAAACATATAGCATCTTTTTTTGCTCTTTACCTTTTGTTTAATAAATAAGCTTTACAAATAAGTCAAATTTGTTTTGCTTCTAACTCTTCCTTTGCCTGATTTTCCATTATCCTTAATTTATGGACATGAGTGTATAATCCTTAACTATTACATACAAAAATAATTATTCCAATAGAAACATTTTTCAACATAATTCATACTCTATTTTTTACAGCTAATGAAATTCAATTAAATAAGCCATATACTCAAATATAAATTAAATTTGAATTACTAGACTAGACGATGAGTTGTAAATCTTTCACATATGCATTATTTGCAATAAATATATCTATTCTCCTTGGGGAAAAAAAGATCATAGATATCATCAATTTCACATTCTTTCTAAATTCAAGAAAAGCAAATTAATATTAATAATAACAAGAAGACAAAAAATGAATGTATGATAAGAATGCTAAAGAATAACTTTAAACAGACTTCACTCAAAGTTATATATAAGGTACTTTATTATTACCGCAGCCATCTTGGTAGAAGTCGCCCATTATCAGAAGTCACCAAACTGTAGCACCCATATGCGTAACAATTCTTCACTTAACCATATTGAGAACTATAAGTTTGATTAAGCAGCGTCACCATTTTTGTACATGCTGTTTTGATTGTATTAGACACTCTAAAAACCAATTGCAATATTTTTTGTCTCAGCTTAATTTTGAAATATGCGCTTGTGGGATTTGCCTGCAAACGAAGAAAGTTCTGTGAAATTTTCGCAGGAATATAACATTTTGCCACTAAGGCAGGAATGCTCAGATTCGCATTTGATCACGTTGTATTTTGGAAATGCAGCATGGAAAACTGTAATGAACCTGTTACATTCGAAGCTGTAATAAGCTTGAGAATAGTCATATGCCCTTTACTACAACATAAGAATGGAATATCCAGTCCGCACCTCAGTGTTGAGGTATCAACGGAGCCATAGGCTAAGAAAATTAACTAATCAGCCAAAACTATGCTAAAGAAATTTAAATTATAATTTTTAAATACAGTTATTAAGAATTTAATTCCTAGCAAATTTTGAGGTCCGCTAACTGAAAGATGTATTGACCTCGCCAACATCTTTATTTACAAAAATTGAATATTTACAGAGATTAATCATATTTTGACAAACAACATTATATGTAATACATAATCAGTGTACATGAACAATATTGATAGAAAGCGATAGTTTTGTTACAATTCTGATAGAACATGAAAAACATAGATTAAGCTTATAATGGAGAATCAGGATATAAGAATTTCATTTTCAAGCCACAAATTATTTATGTTATACATACATTGTGTTCTCATTAGAATACAAGAATTCCATAAATTTGGAAAGCAGTTGGCGACCTTTGTCTAATAGAATTAATTTGCATAGAAGGTCGAAAGTCAAAGTTTGCGGAAAAAGTTCATTTCTTTTTCTGTCCAAACTCGGACAGTGAAGAATCATATGCAGTGCGTCCGCTGTTTCTTGTCCACATGTACAGCGACTGGGTGGAGTCTTGAGTTTGAATCTATTAAAGTAACTAGGAAAGGCTCCGTGATTTGAGAGCAGTTGATTAAGAAAGAAATCATTGAAGTGTCTTTTTTCAGAGATTCTAGGAAGAATCTTGTATGTAGATCTGCCCGTATCTTCTTGCCATCGATGTTGCCACAGATTGAGAGCTTTTTCTATAGCTTGTTCTTACTATGAAGCTCAGAGGAAGTTTGCAGTCTATATGCACTTCAGAAGATGTGCCTTTTTTGGCGAGTTCGTCCGCTTTTTCGTTACCTCTGTAATGTACCTTGATGGCCTCATATCCAATGTAATTTAGCTTTAGTTTGATAGACGAGCTTTTTAACTTCTATGATTTCTTGATTCAGAATGTCGAATTTTTCCAATGATTTCAGTACAGCTTGACTATCCGTATAAATGTGGGCTGTATGCTTGTGTGTTATTAGCCAGTTTAGAGCTGATTTCAACGCTTGAGTTTCAGCTTGGAATACTGAACAATTGGGGTTCAGTTGAAAAGAAAATTCAGCTTTTAATGTGCCGTTCCAATAGACACAAAATCCCGCTCCTGTGCCATCTTCAATTTTGGAGCCATCCGTAAATAATTCATAATTTCTATTTAATGGGAGATGATCGTTCCATTCACAAGTCTTTATTGTGGCAGGATGGGTAAACCATTTATGTTTGGGAAAGTCGAGGGCTTCTTTTAAGAAGTGAAAATTTTCAAATGAAAAGTCTGACCAGCCTCTTTTAGTTCTTTGGATTGCACTTTCTTGATCCAATTTAATATCTAATGGAATCAGGCCGGCTAAGATCTGTAGAGCTGAGGTCGGAACTGTTTTGTAGCATTTTGTCATAGCTAGTAGGGCTACTCTTTGAATAGTATTTTCTTTATTTCGCATTTTAACAGTTGGTGGGAAACACCAAGCTGCACAGGCGTATACAGCTGTCCTTTCTATGGCTCGTTTGTAAAGTTCCTTCATAACTGCTTTGGAGAGGCCAGGAAATTTCATAAGCCGATTTATAATCTTGCAGACTTTTGTTTTTATGTAATCCAAATGTGGAAGCCAGGTAAGGCATTCATCTATTATTATACCTAGGTATTTGATTTGTTTGCGCCTTTTAATAGTAGTGCCATTCAACTTTATTGTGGGGGCTGAATATGCTGCGCCCCTCTTTTTGACGGCAATAAACATTGAGCTAGATTTCTCCGGGGAGAAGCTAAGTTTGCTCTTCTTCGCCCATTCAGTTATTTGAATCAGGGCATTGTTGGCTCTATTATGGATTTGTTGGTGGGTAGCTCCTGATACTATAAATAGTACATCATCTGCATAAGCTTGTATTTGTACTCCCTCTCCATAGTCTATTTGAAGTGCAGTGTTCATGACAATATTCCAAAAAAGTGGTCCGGAGTTT